AGAAGGCGCGTTCCGTTGTAGGCGCACCTGTCACTCTGGAAAATCACGGAGGTTGTATGCAGCATCAGAGAACCATTGGTGACATGATGAGGACTGGACGCAATCGGCCACCAGGTACAGTGAGCCGCAAATCACGACCTGTGATGCGACCTGAAGCAATCGCGTTTAGCTTAATGCACAGATTGTCTAGGACCCAGGTCCGATCATCCGAGTGGGCCACCGGATCAATCTTCGTGGCCTGCACAGCTCCCAACCCTCAAACTCAAACCCTAATCGCTGTCAACAGTTTGCCAAAAACCCTCCTAACCCCTTAACTCCAACACCAACCGAAATCCTGCCTCAAGGGCTGCTGCAAGATCCGAGCATGCCTGGGCTCGTCCTGACAAAATCCCGCTTGGGATGGCTTCGGGCTCTAGGTTGTATGATTTTGTTCAACGCCAATTTTTTCGGGTGCAGCCAGCTTCATGTGGCTTGGTCTTGATCGTTCAGGAAGTCTATATAGCTAGTAGAACAGGGGTCTGCAGTACATGATACGGCTTCCTTCTTATGGTAACTGAAACTACATTCCTGAACAAGAATCCCAGTATAAGGTTTCGGTGCCATTCCGGGTGAGGCTGTCCTGCGCTCCCACTCGGATAATCCAGGCGAGGCGTATGGTTCTAGGTCTGATGAATGAAACTAACAAGCCGCAATGAAAAGGTCAGTGTTTGGGGGTGTAGGGTTGAGGGATTAGGGCGATTAGGGTTTAAGGAACCCCCTTGCGTGCTAGGACCGTCCACAGGAAACATATCCACTGTCAAGCAAAGGAAACCGAAGAACCAGCTACCAAGCTTTCCAAGAGATTTGGTCAACTTGAAATTTCAGGTTCAGGGGCCTTACTGTGTTGGCGCTCTGAGGGGCAGCCAGGTTTAGATCAGATGCTCTATAGAGCAGAAGATCCTGCACAATACATGAATGCACTTCTGCACAGTAACAGGTTACTTGATGCTACAAGTCCATGTTGCTACGTAGCATGCTACTCCAACACAGGCCAGGGCGTCTCAGATGAGGTCTCACAGACCTGATGGAAGTCAGGATCTCATCCGGCGCCTGGAAGCATCTTGGTCGGGTTTTCCGAAGCCAGACTGAGCCACACGTTAACCCCAGATGTCCATGCCTTTCGAAATTCATTGGCAAAAGCCGCCATCTTGATGGAGCTAATACTAATACTAATACTATTATTGTTGTTATTATTATTATTACTATTCTAATTATTATTAATATTAGAATTACTACTACTAGCTTCAAAAACTTCGCCTGCGCTTGCACCCAAGGCATCCCCTCCACTGCGGAGAAGCCAACAGCGTAGACTGCATCCTGGCTGGTACAACCTAGGGTTCCTTTAAAGGGGTCTATAGGGGCCACACTATAAGGGATCTTTTGTATAACTATAGAATAGGGTTCCTTTAAAGGGGTCTATAGGGGCCACATTATAAGGGATCTATAGTATAATTATAGAATAGGGTTCCTTTAACGGGGTTCCGGGTAGGCTCGGTTAGGTTGGGGTCCAGGTTCGAAGGTTCGGGCGGATCATTATCCAAACCCCCATACTACTTTGCTATCCAAGGGTCAGGGCAGGTCTCCCCTGCCCTGACCTGGTCAAGCTGTCAGCGCAAGGAAATGCCGCAAACCATTTGCGATAGCATCCTGATCTGAGTGGAGCAGCTCACGAAGGATGGCTTCGGCATCCTGGGCACGTCTGGTTGGATCTCCGGCAGTACACACATGCGGCACAGCGACTTCACTGAACATGTGATTTACATATTCTGACCAGCACAACTTCAGGTACAGTCTGAAAGGCTACGTGAGGCGATGATTCCCGTTCCAGGGCAAGCACCTTACCCGCACTCATGGCGATGACCTGAGCAACGAGGTCACATACGTCACTTACCGCTTACCGTCTGCATTCTTCCACCGTGCTATGTTGTGTTGGGCAGTGCGAAGAGAGAACGAAAAACATGTTCACGCAGACATATATACATATACATATACGTATGCATATACGTATGCATATAAGTATGCATATACATGTACTTTTTAGCACTCGCTCGGCAAAGCAGGCGAGGTATTTGGGGGTGAACCAGTTTCGGGGGCGGACAGGCACATTAGCCTGGCAGTCATTAACTTATCCTACAACTCGCAGCATCTTCCGGTTTTTGGTGATCTACACCTTCACTCCTCCTATACATGTACTTATGCATATGCAGATACATATACATCTACATCTATATGTGAATGTGTCTTATGTATGTACGTACATAGCTACATTAAACTAGGTATACATAACCTACATGTGTGTATGTAGATATGTATATACACTATACATATGTACGTGCGTATATGTACCTATAGCATGTCTGGTTGATGACTTGCAGCGTTGCAACTGTCGGACAGAAGGGGATAGAAAATCAAGCGGCGAAGCACAAGCAGGCACTTTTTTGGCACAGCTTCTTAGCCGAAAGAGCTTGTCAGCAACAGGTTACGCCAGCGTACCTCCAATCTCCGCCCGTCCTCAAGCGCTACGATGTACTTCCATGGCTCAGTACCTGGGCCGAACGCTGATGCTTGCCGTGTTGTTTGCCCATAACACCGAAAAGCAAAGGTAGATATGACTAGGTTTCATATCTTCTTAGCACATGATGAGTATGCAGCCGAAGCATCCTTCAGCTTCAATGCTTCCAACTGCTTCGTTCAAAGTGGTGTCCGACTCGAGGTTGCGGAGGAGAACACCATCACCAGCTTGGAAAGGTCTGCGCTGCAAGTGCTCTGGCCACATGAGGATTCGCTGGAGGATAGGTCCGCCTGGCAGAAGGCTCAGAACGTCCACGACAACTCGACCAGAGTACTTGTCGAATCCGAGCTCACGTTCCTTCAAGGAGGATGCTGCAGACGACGTTGCGGAATCGAACTGAGAGGTCTTCAGGTAGGTATGCCGGGGCTCCCGAAAAAATGCCTATTCCATACCTTTATCACTACAAGAAAGCCCCGAAAGGAGGCCGTCATTTTTAAGCAAAATGACCACAAAAGGGACCTATAGTACATTATTTGGTTTCCTTAATATGGTAGTTTACAACAACTAGGAGCAAGTCCTCGTCGGTCAATGTAGAGACGAGAGCAGCCCTTCCTTCGAGACCTTCGTGCTCAGTACCCGGCTCGAACTCTGCATTCAGCGTCACCTCACGAAGAACTCTGATTAGGAATTCGGCTTTGTTAAATACCCACTTACCTCCATCTCTTCTGCTTCTCCTTCAATCTGTGAATTTCTGCTGAGTCTATAGTAGTATAGGCTCTACAGGATCTGGAGTTGAGGGTCGGGTTCGCGGAGCTTGGTTCCCCCTCCATGCTCAACAGCTTGGCGAGGAGCCGCATCTCCCGGACGGTGCCTTGGGAAAATCAGATTCCGGGGCTGCACAGCTATGCGCCCCTGTCCATCTTCCAGCTCGATGATGCGCCGGCCAGGATGCTCCTCCCGCTCGCAGCTCAAGGAGGCTCAGCACCCGAACTGAATCTCCGTGACTATGCTTGAGGGTGTCTTCTCTTGAACAAATACGACGGACAAGTAGGTTCGGCTCTCCGGCACAGGTTTGATGTCTAAAGTTGGGCGAAAGAAGCAACGCCCAGGCTCTGCTTGTTTTACCTTTAACGTGGCCGTAGCAACATGCGCCGGATTCCACACTCACGAATGGGAGGTGCCTTCAGGAAGGGCCCCTAAGTAGCTGGCGGGTGCTCCACCAAGCATGTCTGAAGTGCTCTTTGAAGGTTTTCCCAACCCTCTCCGACGCCGCTTTGAAGGTTGCTTGCGGCTTGCGGGAATTCATTTGCTTCGTCCTGACTACTTCGTCCTGGCTTCTACTGGCGGCCGTAGCACCAAATGTGGAAGCTTTCGATTCTGGCTGGCTGGAATCCTCGTAAGGTTCTGTGTATTTGTGTGGGGGGGGATCGGGTCTGTTTACCTGCACTGTTGAACCAGAAGCTCCTACATTGGCAAGGAGGTTGCGTGGAGAAGAGGAAGAATCCCTCAGAATCGGAAAGCTTAGGACAGTTACGAAGACCAAACTCCTCCATCTCCTCCTCCGTGGCTTCAGAGAGGGTGCCTGTGAGGCCGTTCAAGTGCTCGGCGGCACTCAAACCCGAGATCTCCACCAGAGAGCCTTCACTGAGCTCAGCCACTTGCCGGCGCTCTAGTACCTCGCTCCCGAATTTCAAGAGCTTGTCGAAGAGAACAGAGCCCTGCATTATTTGCATGAGCTCCTGAGTCTTGTCGTTGGACTGGAGCCAAGACCAGACAGCTTGTGGATCTGAGAGAAACTTGGCCAAAGGATCAGAGTCTGCAGCACCTTCCTGTGCAGCCGCCAGTTCCTGAAAGGTACTGTTGTACTCCTTCAACTGCCCCTCATCTTCCAGCAGCTCCTTCAGGATGCTCTGGATGTTATTGGCCTGGGTTCTTGTTCAGGGATTTAATTTGTTTACGTTACCAGAATGGGGATCTAGAGTACATGATGCGTATGGTTTCCTCCTTATTATGGTAACTTTATGATGGTAATTTAGATTAAGTCCCTTAAAACCAGAACCCAGTGGCGCCGTCGGGCTGTTCCAAGAGCTCCCGAAAGTCTTCGGCGTCGAGCGGCCGCCTCGCGGAGCTCTCCGTGGCCCTGCGAGCCAAGGAGGAACCTCGAAGGACCGGCGGCGCACGCCCTGGGAGCCTGAGAAGACTGTCTGCTTCGTAGTAAGGAATGGTTAGGACTTCTCTAGGGGACCTTAAGCCTTAAGGGTTCTTAGGAATGGGGGGGGTGGGTTCTTGGGGCTACTTTCGTGTTAGGGGACCTTAAGGGGCTATGATAGGGATCCATTCCCCCCATTCCCCACCAAGAACCAGACAGAAATGCCCAGGCAGAGGCGAAAAGTGTCAGCACAGCCGCCTCGGATAAATCACCGTTCTGAAACAGTGAGAGTATAATAAATAAATGAATATATTATAATATATATATATATATATGTATATACATAGGGGATTAAGTGGGAGGAAGGGCTGTGAGAGGGGGGCACATACAATGCTAAGGCTTTTGCTCTCCTTGAGTTTCACTCTACGCTGCTGGGCTAACTGAACTCAACCAAGCCGGGATGCACAGCTGCAACTGCGGCGCTGTCGCCGGCCGATTTGCGACGACAGGCGAACCATTGCACCCCCTAAACGGCTCTAAAGCAAAAGCCAGAAAGTTGGAATATGATTATCCTAACCCTTCTATGGTAAATTATAGGGTATCCTACCCTGAAACCATATTCCAACTTTCTGGAGTTCCCTGTAGAGGTATTTGGTACTGGCAGCTCTTCGTGCACTGTCTTTTGAAAGGATGCTTGGCTGAAGCGAATGTGCAATGGAGTCTTCGTCCCACGACGCAGCTGCGTAGGTTTGTCCAATCTGAAGCCCGAAAAGGGAGTTTCCGAAAATTGGGGGGTACCCCATTTTGGGATCCTGATAATAAGGATCCTACTATTTAGGGTACTATGGGTCCCCTATTTTCGGAAACTCCCAAAAAGTGATATCGAAGCCTGAATCCTGGGAGTGCCAAGATCGCCACCCAAGAGATAGGGCGCCCGTGTGGTCGCAATGCCGAATCCACATAGCCTCCCAAGCAACTTCACAATGGTGACAGACATGGCTTCACCACGTTGCGGCCAAAGTGTCATGTATGAAGATATGCATATGCAGATAACAGCACTAAACCCAAACAAGATCAGGCAGCAACCACTGGTCATGAATCATTACCTTTTAAACTTAATTTGGACTTTGCCGTGGCTTTGAGGCTTTCAGGCCTCCTAAAGCTTCCGCTGCATACGGATTGTGCGCACCATCAAGGAGCACACGTCCCGCACCGGCTAATTGAAGCCATTCCAAGCGTCCAGCCCTGCAAGAGCCAAGTGTACGGCTTAGAGGCTTAGAGTTTATGGTTTTGCTCTTCTCTAGACCATCCTGAACAAGATCAAATTCTCGGTGCCAGGCCATTTTGTTGCGGCCATGCCGGCTGCAATGGTACCTGTTGCCCGCTCTGTGAGTGAAGCCCGAAGATCGAGCATTCCGACTCAGGCAGCTGCTGTCGTCAAGCACGGACACATCGAGTACCCGCTCTCTGCCTGCAGGGCAAGCGCTCTTTGTCGAGGGCTGCTCGGCCAACCGCTGGGGTTCCTAAGAGAGGAGCTTCGAAGTGGAAGCTGCTGGCGACGAAGCTCAAGCAACATGGCCTCGGCATTACCGCGAACTCCGGGATTGGGAAAAAGTGATCAGAAGCACAAAGACCGGAAGCCCAAAGCCCTAGGCCGCAAAGACTGAGGAAGCTGCCAACGCGAGAGCTGCATTTGAGCGTTGGTACTCGCCTGGCATTCCGGCATTTCTTTGTCCAGCCGATGGTTATAAATCAGGAGACTCCAAAAAATCCTTTGTTCAGGAATATTCCTTCAACTACCCTAGGCCCTTCAAATGATGAAGCACATTAACCTGCAGCAGGAAAGCTGAAGAAACACAGAATCCTCATCCAAGGGTGATTCCTTAAACGGCGCCTACGTACGCCTACACTAAACCTCCCCCCAAGTAACTAGCGGCACTAGCGGTTCTAGACCTCTTCTTCAAGGAACCCTAAACCCCACTTCTACTTTCTAATATCAATTTTTGCATTACCCTGATTCCCCACAACCCTAAGCCCTGAAGCGTGAAGGGTCTTGGAGTGTCTCGCAAGCTCGAACGGCCCACCCAAGAGCGGCAAGCGAAGCTCCTCGCTGAAGCCTCTGACCTCGGAGAAATTGTCATACGGTTGATGGTATAAATCCTGCATTACCCATCATGAGGAATATACCATAATTCCCATAGTCTACGGTCATTGATGTAATGCAGGGTTTGTATCATCAACCGTAGCAATAATCTTGCCTTTGGTTAGTAGGGAGTGGAAGAATGGCAGTAATAGTAGTTATGATTGTACCCCATTCCTCCAGTCCCTACTAACCAACGGAATTAATAACAGTAGTAATGCTAAGGATAAGGAAAACGTTGAACATAAGCATGAGAGTTAAAAGAATAAGAATAGCAGCGAGAGTAACTATAGTAATAACAACGTGAGGCGATAGCTGCAACATAGTAGTGGTATTTGCAGAAGGAGAAGTAGCTCTAACATTCATATGATAGAAACACTGATCACAATCCTACTTGTCGGGTATCATGAGGAACTAAAGGTTAACTTTTTTGGTTATACAAGGACTATATAGGGACTATACTATACTACCCAAACAAGGTTAAATGTTACCTACTCTACTACTAGCTAATACTTCTCCTCATGCCGATAGCGGTAGCAACAAAACCAGCGATACCACACTAACAACAGCAAGAAGCTTCCGGCATTGGTAGCACGGATCCTGGCAATCAGAGTTCTTGCCATGTCTCACACTGAGGCGTGGAAATTCCGAAGCCCTACCTTAACCCGGAATGACCTACCTTCTTAAGGACTTGTATAAGGAAATCTTTATAAGGAGCCCTAAAAAGGTAGGTTATTCAGGGGTGAAGGTAGGCCCGCGACTCCAAAAGCCCTGATCCAATGCCGACACCCCAACAGAAACTCCTGAGGCTCTGGGAACCTCCAGATGGGTGGTTGTCTAAATTAGGGTCCCTTTTTGGGTCCCTATTTTAATACGGCACCTATTATTTAGGGTGCCCAAAACTGGACCCTAATTTTGACAACCACCCATATGGGAGTTTCCGCAAATCAGGGGTATCATATATTGGGGGTGCTTGTAGTAAGGATCCTACTATTTAGGATTCTATATTAGGCTCCCCGTATTTTCGGAAACTGTAATGGAGCGCACAAGGAGAAACGTCATCAAACTACTTAGGACGAATAGGTGACATCAGCATTACACTTCTGCTCGCTATTCCGGTGTTTCTGGCTTCTGCCTGTAAACCCTCACCCTTTTACACCTGGACTTGATGAATGCCAGCACCCCACCGAGCACGGTTTACCCTAAATCCTAACCCTAAACCCTAAGCCCTGTTCGCAGTACCGGGACTCTGGCCCTGAGCACCTGGACCTCGGAGATCATCTCGCCTGCGGTGATGAGATAAAGGGCCTAGGGTTTAGGGCTTATGGAATAGAGTTTAGGGCTTATAGAATAGGGTCTAGGGTTTATAGAATAGGGTTGAGGGCTTCTAGAATAGGGTTGAGGGTTTCGGCGCTCACACTCGGACAATCCAGGCGAGGCATGTGGTTCGGAGTCAGGGTTTAGGATTTATCGAGCTTCGGGCCCCCCCTAAACCCCAACCCTTAGGGCTTCCAGGTTAAGCTTTAGGGCTTGGTTGTAACTATACTGAACTTAGAACCCTAGCAAAAATTGTAATTTTAGCTGTTTCTTAGGGATTATAATAGCCAAAAACTAAAAACTATTTCTAAGTACCCCTAAGGTAAAAGGTTCACGACCAGCTCGAGCCCCTTTTTGAGAGTTTCCGAAAATAGGGGACCCAAATATAGTATCCCAGTAGTAGGATCCTGATGATAAGGACCCCGAAATAAGGTACCCCTAACTTTCGGAACTCCCATAAGAGTATCTTAGAATAGGGTTTTGGGGCCCATTATACTAGAATTGCAATACATAAGGAGCCACCAAATAGTATCCATAGTACCTCCTTCTGTCTGCCAACTGCATTGAATGACAGCACATCTGCTTCACTGCTTCTGCGCCTGCTTCCTCGGATGTCGGTGCAGCAGCCTCCCATTCCGAGGAGTCACAGTAACAAGCTAATCATGCACTGTGTCTGCATACATTATGCTTGAGTGACAACCACAAGCATGACAATGACCTGAGTCGCAAAACGCCACTACTGGAAACAAGCCTGACATGACTAGCAACAACTAGTTATAGTCTAGTATTAGTCTGGTGGCAATAGTCACCGTCTCAGAAAAAACGAAACAGTAACGAGAAATGCAAACTCTCTCAAAGCCGCTACAATCCGGAACGCAAGAACTTTGAGCCAGGGCCTCTGCAGGCTCCACCCACGTCACGGGCCTGGCATCAGGCAACTCGGGGCTGTGGAGCTCGAAGACTGTCTCGTTCTTAGTAAGGAATGGGGGCATGGATCTTTATGATAGTCCCTGAAGGTCCCTTGTAGTAGTCCCAATAACTAAGAACCAGGCAGAAGATTTCAGGTTTATGCTTTGAAGTTCAGACCACTGGGGGTGAGGGTCTTTGCTTCATGAGGGGATTTGGGCATTTATACAGCGATGCAGGTGACATTGGCTATGTGGCGACAGGTCCGCTAGACAATGCTAAGACTAGAATTCCGCGCATGTATTCAGTATGTGCACCCCGAGCCGTGTTTGTGCATATATGAGTATAGGTATGTATGTATGCATGCTTTTGGCTGCATGTTAGCGTGTCTGCACGAAGAGCTCGTGCAGGTACACATGCACAATGCATGTGCAATGCACCTCGGGATGTCTGCAGATATGTGTGTATGTAGTCTAGCATACAAGTCGGTGCTGTGCATGTCTGTAGCTCCATGCATGCAGTTGTCTATGTGGTTGTGGGTATACATACATACAAAAATATACACGTGTGTATGCATAAATGCTGCATGATGGCCGTGATTGTGATGCTGTTGCAGACACAGGCGACACATTAATGCATGCAAATGCATTGGCGCTCGCATTTTCTGGCATGGAGTGTTTCCTTCCAACGGTGCCGCGCCACAACGTGCATTTGCCCAAGCACCAGAATCGATGGGATGCAGGATTATCCTGCGACAATATCACTAGCTTAGCAATTGGCATCATGAACGTCTTGATATGTCCACAAAAACGCAAAACAACCTGCCATATCTTGCAATGATCAATCCCGGCCCAGTCTCACCCATGGCTTACTTCAGTATGCTCAGAGTTGCCCACGACTTGGGCTTTTCTGTGTGAAGCGATCTGCGTACATGCTTCTTTTTGTGTACATGCATTCTTACATATATAATATACCTGTTTGGCACGGGCACGCATCTTCAGAAGTAACATAAGTAACTATGATACGAAAGCTCGGAAGCCAAGGTGCAGCATAGCCCTGCATTTCCTGGAGGAGTTCTTGGTCGGAGTCTCCACCGGCACGCAACCAAGCCTCGATCGCCTTCTGCATGGTGCTCGAAGCCAACGCCGCGTTCCGGGACACCAGGGCTGCATTGAAGGCATCGTTTAAGGCGCGAGAGTGCAGCCAAAGGTCCCCCCCCATTTCTGAATCAATGATCACAGACAGGCGGCATGTCAGCTTGTATGCCTCTTCAGGATCTCTTTTGATCAGTTCCTTGACTTTGCGGTCGAGAGCTCGAAACTCTGTCCGAAGCGCCTCACTTTCGGCCCTTTTGGCAGCGGATGGCTCGCTGCAAACCTCACAGAAGCAAAGGAAGTGGTGGGAGCTCTGCAAGCGCAAGCGGCGTTGCTCAAGGGAGCTTTCCAGGTCCGGCAAGTAGCTGATACAAAGCTCCTCCCCCCTCTTGCAGTCCTGTTTGGGACCCCAAAAGACTAAAGCCCAAAATGAAGAATGTAATATCGCTACTTGTAACAGTCGGCAGGATTCGAGTCAGCACTTTATGTTTATGTTGTGATTGCTCCCGCAGTCCTGGGTCACGTGCATCTTCAGGACAGCATCAGTTTTGTCCCCCCAGTACCATACCACGTTAGGGCGGCAGCTGTGATTGAATCGAGCCCCTTGCAGAAAGCAGCCCAACATCTGCTTGTTGCCATTTCTCGTGAAGGTGTTCGTCCTGCAAATGCCAATCGCTGACTTTTCTGCACCGGTACAATCCTCCAGCTCCCAGAACCTGGGTTGTCGTTCAGGAATTGAATGGGAGCTACCTCGGAGTCACCACAATAATGGGCGTCTATCACAATTAATGGCTTCTATATCATAGTGGCTTAAATTAAAGTACGTATCATGAGCCCAGGAACTGACGTTGGAGATTTGCATCGAGTCGGGAAATCATCTCCCGCAACTCGACCTCAAAGGTCTGCCTCCTGCCGTCCTCCAAGGGAAGTGCGCTCTTCTGCACCAGGAAGGCAGGTGCCTCCTGGCTTGCTCTGGAAAAGCACTTCTGAAACTTTTCAGCGTCGCTCCTAATTACTGAAATGCGCCACTTCGGCAGTATGCACTTAAGCCATGAAGTGCCTTCATAGAAATCCCTACGGTCTAAGGCCAATTCGGGTGAGTCACACTCAGGATGCATTCACCCTTCTTCAAGTCGCGTAGCCCAGAGACTCCCAGCCCACGGCCTGGGAAAGCCTTGACTTCCCACGCTGGCTCTGCCATGGCTTGCATCGTCCATGTGCACGTGCCTTGTGTTAGTGCAGAGTGTGAAATATTATTTGTCTTTATGTGTATTTCCATATCTGTAGACATAGATTCATAAAAATCCGCAGACGAATAGACAGATAGATAGAGTCGATCGCCAGATAGATAGATAGATAGGGGGGTCATCATGTAGCCTTGGAGTGCTGACTCTTCGTCCATCGCCTGCCGTTCACCTGACCCGTGGCTTCTTTCATGCCTTGAGATCCGAAACGCTGCAGCGACGATAACTTGACTGGAGTTGTATACTACTGCTGCTCCTGACTTACACATCTCGCCGTCTGGCACAACAAACTGTGGAGCCTTGCGCTAATTTGCAATCAGGACAGCCTGACAAAGAGCGCACCGCTTCTGCGCAGTCGGCTATGACCTTCTTCACCTTGCTGTCAAGACGAGCTTCGCATCTCCACACCAGCAGCCGCCCGACAGCATTGCCATGCCACTGAGGCTGGCGCACTCTGCGACATCCCCGACGTAGCCACAAAGGCGGGACGATTAGCTTGGAAAATACCTGCCTGGGCGGGGGAGTCTCACACGACGAAAGATGGCAAAGCGGAATGCTCCCTCCGCCTTGTGGCCTGCTATTTCCTCACGAGTCGAGCCGAGGAATTTCTCGTGGTCCATGGCTATGCTCGAAATGGCACAAGCCTGATCAGCTTGATTTCAGCCATCACGCAGCACGTCGGGGGAGCTATGTGAATGCCCTCAACGTTGAAAGCGAGGAACAGCAGGCTCGATGAGGACGTTCGTGGCGTCGTCGCGTCCGCCCATGCCAACCTTCGTGACACAGGAACTGCAAACAGAAACTGCGGGGCCGCGCAGTGGCGACACACAACTTCTCCACTGAACCTTGACATGCATCCCGGATCATGCTTGGCTATGGTCGGTCCTGAGACACCGAGGACATGTTCCAAAGGATCCTGAAAAATCATGACGCAAGAGCAAACCCATGGACGGCAAACCCTCTGAAACACCAGAACATCGCATGGTACTTGGGCAGTATGGTCAACCCTTTTGCAACCAGCTTCGCTCTTGACCATACACTAAACCCCACAGCCCTTTTTGCAGCAGGCCTCGTTGTCCAGCAGCCCGGTTACCCTAAACCTAAGCTCTAAAGCCTCTGGTCAGTATGGGGAGTACTCATACCAGGCACTCTCAGGATGCCAAGCCGGCCTCCAGAATGGCAACATCAACCTGAAACACATCGACTCGGGGATGCATTAGTTTTTAGGGCTTCATCTCTCACACTCGGACAATCCAGGGGTTTAGGGTTTAGGTAACATCAGGAATCCTTCATCTTCATCGGATACCGAACGACATGCCCTAAAGCTGAAACTATACAAAGGGATATATATATATATATAGATAGATAGATAGATAGATATGTTGATCGTAGTCATCTACTGTGTTTCATGCAACCAAGACATGAACAATTCTATAAATGTGCATGTGTGTGTATATGATGTTACAGATGCAATATTATTGAAGCGAACCCACTGATACATCGCAGGCTCGCTGTGGCACCTGCCGTCGGGCGAAGAGCGTCAGCGCCATGACGACTTGCAGCTCAAAAGATGTGAGTGAGAGTGTCCTGTAGAGTTTGGGCGGGTTTAAGTATTTCGACTGGGTTTCAGGTTGGGGAGTTTTGGTTTCTGTGCTGCATCGTCTACTCTTTAGGACCCAAATGCACCGCACCAAGATCCTCGTATATCCGGGAGGCGGCGTCACGAGCATCCCTGCTTTCTTTTGATGCGTGGAGGTGCCCCAACTGTTCGGAGAAGGAATTCTCCCAGCCGTGGTCCCGCAATTTGGGGGCCGGGATTCGGGGAATGTCTCCAAGTCCTCACCCACCGTAAGCTGTGGCACCGTCTACGACACTTTGTAATGGACCGAAACCAGCAATTACAAGACTTCAGAGCAACGTGCACATGCATTCGTGTACTGGGAGCGCTGAAGAGTATTCACGGGTTTATAAAGCTCCTGGCGTCTGCTTCGTGCTCTGCTGGCCGGCATAGTTCGACGATCTCATCCTGGAGAGAGCTCAACTGCTCTTTCGAGAAGTCTTGGTCCTCACATCGCAGGCAGCACAAAGGCCGGCAGATTCAGAGACAACTCCGAATGAGATTTGATTTCAAGCCGCAGTTTACAAGCAATCCTAAACCCCAAAGCCCTGTTTTCAGCCGGGCCTCCACCCTGAACCCCAAAGCCCTGAACCTTTGAACCACGACAGCAACAAAAGTCCTGGCCATCCTCTGCTAGGCGGAAAGCATCGGAGGGTTCTACGAGATGAGGCGATGTAAACATCGCAACGCGCAGTTTCGCCCGCCTCCCGGGAGTGGGTTGAGGGTTTACCTTAACCTACGTTACCAAACCCTACTTTTTTGTTGGTTCTTATTATAATCCCTAATATGGAATCTATAGGGACCCTACAAAAAAGTAGAGTCTTGTAGTTTAAGGTAGTTTAGGGTGATTCGGGTTTAGGAGCGTTTAGGAATTCTGAGCGCAGGATGTAGCAATCAGAGACTCACCCTGCGGTACACGTGTAGCTGCCTCAATGCAGAGAAGAGCATCGCGCAAACCTCGAGTGGCACTATGACGCACTGGATCCTCCGACATGCACAGAATTATCGTACTCGAACGGTAGCTGTTATGGTGACTACTGCAGTAACACGAAGTATACTATCAGAGACGTCGCACTATACATCACTAATCACTATGCCCCTCTTCCCGCACAAGGCCGACTCCGAAGATCTTTGCCAAGCCACGCTCCCTTTGCCATTGGTGCCCGCCACATGCAGCACGCGCCCTTTCAGCGAGTGCTGAGGCGAGCCAAGTTTGTCCAGGGCCGATAGGACCCGACCCAGGCCCGGATCGATCTCACCGCGGGGCATGGCGGATGGCAAGGACCGGATGTTAGAAGGATCTGTTTAGCTGTAGGTGGTGTTCCGTATCGTTGTCCGTGGTGAGTAGACTCATGTGAAGCTCAGGTAAACCTGTCCCGGCTATTGTGCCGCGGATCTTCGAGCTTCCACCGTTCTTTGAAAGACGTAGCGCGGTGGTACCGCAGGTTCGCAGCTCTTGTGTACTTCTGCTCCTTTGCCTGGTCGGTTCTTGCAACCGTGCAGGCACCCTAAGCTCAAGCCGGACTACACCAGGTGGAGCCATGTGTTTTGCGTGGGCAGGGCAGGCATGACATGGACTATATACATGCAGACATCTACACAAATAACTCTTACAAGGACTAAATATGCAAAACTACAGCAGGGCGTCCGACATGTTCGTTTACATATATCAGGTAATGTTGCTCACGACAGGGAGGCATGGCAAGTCAAGTTGTTTTGCGATGCTCAGAAATCTTTGTCATTGCAGGTCGTTCAGTCTTTGGATGTCTTGCGCAGGCGACTCGTGCTCCTGCGGTTAAATCACACCGAGACACTGTACATCCGACATGTCGTAGATGCATGGATCTCGGAAAAAAGGAGTGCCACGGCAAAGCCGTGAACTAGGTTGTCGTAAACAGACAGTGCAACGAAGCCCCAGATCTATTCGTGGAAGCTTTGGGGTGTTGCCGCAATTACAAAAGGTTGTTTCAAATTAAACATGATGGTGGTCTTCACCGAAACTTCCTCAACGAGCTCGGCAATAATTTCTTTCGTTCTGGACACGTTGAGCTCTCTCTCTCTTAACAAGTTCACGCATTTGCGGTCGAGGATTTAAGGCATCATTTCTGCAAACCAGGAGCTTGTTGATTGGGATTTGAAACACTATCAATGCTGACGCTGGGCTGGCCCAATATCTCCGCTCGGTGATTATCGATGTTACAATGAGGTTTAAGTTAAACGTCTAGGCTACCAATGAGACGGAGCCATACAGTACAAAGCCCCTCCAGCCCAGTCCCCAGTCTCAGCCCCGCTCATCGGCAAATATGTCCAGCTCAAGAAGTTCACATCGTCTTCCCGAAAGGACTTCGGTTTGAGCCTGGGATCATGTCGCAGGGAGTCGCGTTCAGCGTCTCGGCCTCCTCTGTAAACTCTTCCTCCAGCTCGGTGGCTGCCGTGTCTTTCAAGGCCCCGGCATCGCGATCATCAGCAAGCTTGCTTTCATCACGCTGCTGGGAGGCATTCATAGCTGAGAAGTACGCGCCGCTGGAACTCGTCCCTGGATGGCGAACCTGGAGTTTGATAGCCATGTCCATCATGAGCCTGTCCATCTCCTCAAACTTGGTACGCGTCATCTGCGTCAACTTGCCGATGTCGCTGTCATCCACTGCATCATCCAAGGCGGGCCAAGGCAAATCTGGTCTTGCGAGTCCTCCGTAGCGCTGAACCCGATCTAACGGCACCTGGGGATGCTGCAAGTATTCGTAAGGGTCTTCTGTCGTGGGCACCGCACCACGGGGCCCGTTGTCACCCTGGTCGAGCTCGCATGCTTCCTCCAGTTTCAAGGACGTCAAGAAAGCCGTCCATCGCCTCTTGCAGATCAACGGCATCGCGGTCTCGTAGATGTTGATGCCACGCGTCAACCGAGCATTACCTCGTGCATGAAGGACGAGCTCATTGTAACGCTGGCATAACTGCGCCACCATAAGGTTCATCAGGTATACATGCCAGCATGCGGCGAAGCCCATGACCAGCCACTTCAGCAACGGCTCATCTGCCTGGGCAATCTCCTCGTACTTGTTGCCGCCATAAGCACCAGATGCCATAGACAACAGGGACTCGAAAGCCATAGGCCAGCTGAAGAAGTCCCTCATCTGAACAGACTGAGTGCCTAAGGAATGAGGCAAGCAAGCGATTGCCGAGGCGAAAGCAGCGGTGAAGAAGACAAGGGCTGCCACGTACATGACGAACTCTGACATCAGGCACGAGCAGATGACACTGAAGACAGACAGGTGCACATTCAGGTGCACCAGCTCACATGCCAGCACGAAGTACAGGAGCGCCGGGAAGGCAGCGATGCGGTTGTAGGTGTGCATGAGGTTGCACTGCCATTCACCAAACTCGCAACAATTCGTAAGCAACTCGTTGCTAACTGCGAGGCAATGGAGGACTGGCTCACAGCAGAAAAGGCACAGGAGGAAGAGAAGCAGAACTACTTCGACCACTTCCTGGCGCGTCTGCAGCATGTATTTCGGCACAGCCAGGCATCCACAACAACGCGCCGTTTGCTTCTGACGGATGGCTCTGTACGTTTGGTACCCGTGCTTGACGAAGAGCTGCCCCAGGCTAAAAACATACAAGAAAGCCCGACAAAGGATCACCGAGAACCGCTCCGAGCTTAATGGGTCACGTGGCAGAAAAGCTTGCTGCTCGGCCACGATGTACACCCAAAGAGTGATGCAGAACCATAGTTTCGTCATAGCCCAGGGCAGGCAACAAAGACGAGTCCAAAGTAGGTCGGCTTGAAAGACTGCCGTGGGGTGGCAAATGATCTGGGGGTCACCATGCTTGATCAAGTCAAGGAGCGAATCGGTCAAGTGGCCTTCTTCGTCACTGAGGAAGGAAGCAATGTAGTAGTTCGCCCGCCGCGCTCCGTTCTTCACATTCTTGGACCGCCAAATCAGCCCGTCAAATAATGCAGGGAGTAGCGAGGGCGCCTTTTCACAAAGCATGCTGATGATGTCTGGATGGCGGATGAACAATGCTTCCATGCCATAGTAGTACCGCTCCCGATCTGCACGAATGGTCAGCAGGTCGTTCAGAATCGCCGTGGCCGACTCCAGGGCTCCCTTCTCCACGGCCCAGATTAGAGGAGACATGGATTCGGTACCCACCTGAACTCGCAGCAAGATCACCTCACGCTCACCACGTGGGTAGTTCGCTACAGCAGCCTGCATGTCCTTGGAAGTGTTCTTGTTGATGGCAATGATCACGGGGGTGGAGCCCTCTGCTAAGGTCCGGATGAAGATCCTGCCCATGAGATCCAAAGTCCACCACAGCCCATCATACAGAGACGCATCAGAGCAGTATTGCTTGACTGTGTCCATGAAGGCTTGGACAAAGGGGCGAACCAAATCCTCCGGAATCCCAAGGCCTGCATGCATGAGCCCTAAAGCTGACAAGGCAATAACAGCTTGATGAGTCTTCGTGTAGATCTCGGACATGATCTTCAGAACCCTTCCCATGATGTACACCAGTCGCTTGTTGGCTGCCCGTAGATACAGCTGGGACTCCTCGCAGTTGGCAAAGAAAGTGTCAAAGACCTGAAGCTTGAATCCTGCGAGCGTCGCCTCATCCAAGCGGCCAAGGAAAGTCCGTAAGCACTGGCGGTTGCTCACGATAAGCTGACCATTCTTTTCGACCTTGTTCTCCACAATGCTCCAAAACCAAGCCCATGCACTCTCGTGTTCCGAGCTCCATGTCGTGGGCAGGAGGGATCTCAGGCTGGCAAACATCACGGAACGAAACTCCTTGAGGTTCACATTTCCATGCTTGGCCAGCGTCACGGTCAAGACATCGCAGTCTTCCTGAACTCGATCGATGTTGCCGACGAAGGGCACCAGGGATTCCATGGCGTAGAGCATGTCAGCAAACCACATACGGTCTCCGATGCCCATTACAGCAGCATTGAACCGAGCCATGGCTGCAAAGGTCTTTGGAACATTCGTGTTCGAGTTGTCCTCGCACTTTCCACGGCTTTTCTGGTCGCCTTCTTTCTCCATGCCAGTGTTGTTCTTCATCTGCTCGACCTTCGTCGGCTCTTTCGACTCTTCGTGCTGGCCTTCCGCTTCTACACTTTCACCCTCTTCGGGAGCGGTTGCTTCCGGCTGATCTGCGGCCTCAACATCTTCCGCATTCACCTCCTTCCAGCAGGACGTCAACAGCTTCAGACGCGCTGCATAGTGTTCGTGGGTATTGGCCAACGAGGTGCCCACAGCGACGACGACCTGACCTATGCCAAACTGGAACTCCGGAGTTATGAGCCCACCAAGCCTTGATGCACAGACTTCAAGGAGGATGTTGCGGAAGGCCTCGATGTCGGCCGTGGTGATGTCTGCGTTCATGTGGCGCAGGGCGATGTACTCCAGGCGCTTCTGGAGGAGTTTCGGCTGATCAAGAGCTTGCAGCAAGTCCGTCAAAAGGTGCCACACGGTGCTGGACCTCTTGAGCATGCCTTCTGTTCGAGGCACCTGCTTCTTCAGCTTGCGGAAGACCTTCTCGCCAGCAGCCTTTGGCCCTCCCAGCCGCTTTTCGGTCGTTGCCCAGCCGTTCTGGACCTCCTTGATCGTGAACTCGTCGAGCTCGATGCTGGAAAGAAGTCTGATGGCTTCTTCCATGGCACAGTAGATGAGAGGGGTTCCAAAGACTCAGGAGAGGCTGCAAATCCTGCAGGATGACCTTTCGACAACACCTTTGAAGGACTTTTGCTGCATTACAGTCAAACCGGCAGGGTTTGCAGTACTGTACAGGGTTATGCTATAACGATCGTATGTGCAATACTCCAACGCCATGTCAGTCACCAGCTGCAAGGAAAGCACAGCCACCCAGTCTTCGGGGAAAAGAGCCTTCAACGAGGGATTCCTGGTTTCAGGTCCGCCGAGAAGTAGCAACTGTCTTGAATTGAAAATGGCTTGAAGGAAGTTCTGTTTGCTTGCAGGAACAACAAAGATCGCATGTGCACACCCGTGCACAAAAATGCATCACAAAGAACCATCCTTTTCCATCCCAGCTCACAGCCTGGATGCGCACTCACCTACCCTGCGCAGATGAAAAGCCAGCTGCGTCCGACCTTCGGTGAGCATGACACCAAGCAGATCGGGGTTCAGGGTCGATCTACTCCGATCGACCTATCCACCTACGTACCTGCGTCCGCACACACATACATATTTTGGCTCCCACACACATACATATACATATATATATATATATATATATATATATGTAAAATTACACATATGCGCATTACCACCTATATACATGCGTAAGTGCAGTATGAGGTGTGAGGCTTCCAGGGTTGTTCGCGTATCCAGGCAACAGTTCAGTAAGGCTGACGGCCCGGCTCCTGCGAGATCTCGAGAAAATCCCTGCCATTCCACAGCGCTGGTTTTTCCCTCTTATGTTAGCAAGAACGAGCCCGCACTGCCAGGGTAACTCCAGAGAACGCTTGACTAGGGATGCTCTACAATTGAAAGCCACACACCAATACTATTTTGGAGGTTCCTTGTTATACTCATAGTATGATGGGCCCCTATATTAGGGTTTCGGCGCTCACACTCGGACAGGGTTTAGGGTTGAGGGTTCAGAGCGTCACGACCTCCAGAGCCTGGCAGATCGGGTGAGATTCTTTTGCTGTTTTGCGGTCGCTTGCCCTCTCGCCAGGGTCGGACTGTACAGCATCAAGCTATGAATCTGCTGAACGACGACGGCACAAGAAGCAACTCAGCAATAACCCAATCGCAACAGCGACAGTGGCCATAACCAAGAGGCTGGGCGACCTCAGGTGGTCTAGCCACTCCAGTCTCATGTGGGCTCGACCACCCGACCCCGCTTCGCGGATCGCGTCAGTCGCCGATGAATGCGGTTTCATAGCCACCGGAACAGGTGAACGAGTCGTCGATACATGCGGCTTGATAGGCACCGGGACCGGGGAAAGCACAGCGTCAGGCTTGCTGTTGTTGCTAGCTGTCGTAGTGGTGGTGGTGATGGTGGTGGTGGTGGTGGTGGTGGTCGTGATCGTCGTGGTGGTGGTGCTGGTGGTAGTGGTGGTAGTGGTGGTGGTGGTGGTGGTGGTGGTGCTGGTGGTGATTGCGGTGGTGGTGGCGATCGTCTTGGTGGTGATTGTGGTGGCGACGATTGTCGTGGTGGTCGTGGTGGTAGTGGTGGCGGTGGTGATGGTGCTGGTGGCGGTGGTGGTGGTGGTGCTCGCGATGGTAACCGTGGTGGTGGTCGTCCTGGTGATTGCCTCAGTGGTAGTAGTACTAAATGCCCCTTTGGTGCAGCACTTCACTTCTTTCTCGTTACGTTGAAAGAGAATCACCGCAGGCGGAGTGCATGCCGCTTTTGCCCGCAGCTCGCATGTGTAATCCTGATCGCGGAGAGGTGGAGGGCAGCACGTCACTTTTCCTTTCTTGCGATGCTGCTGAATCTCGCCCGCTTCGCACTGTCCTTTCCGAACCACGCAGTCGATTTTCCCAGGCTCGAGCTCGAAGTTCGCTCCCAGGAGCTGGGCAGCCTCTGTCCGGGCTGCTGCCGCCATCCGGACCACGCCAAGGCTGCAGAGGACGGAAAGTAGAAACGCCATGAGAAGCTTATGTACACGCTCCGAGTTGCAGAAGGATTTCGCAGAACGTCTGTGACTAGTCTCGAGATGGAAAACACTACAAGGCGGACCGATTCGGGATCTAGGCAACGAAAGCCGCACCGTGACCGGCAGATCCACGAACTTTTTACGACTCGCTGCCACAGAAGGTCAATGCAGAATGGCCAGAGCAGCACCTCTGTGCAGATTCTCGGACCACAGCTGGACAGGATGGCATTGACGTGGAAGTGGACGTCCGACTGTAGAGCTGAAGGGCGAGAGCGCAACTCGCGAGACCACTCCAGCTTCTCACTAGTTTTCTCCTCAAGCTGCAGCAACATGTAGATCTGAGCCAATGAAGGCACGAAAACTCCTTTGGTGCTGAAGAAGAAGTGCAAGAGGCCCAATCTGGTCTGCAGCGCCAGGCTCTGTGTGTCCACTTGCCGCGACGTGGCGGCATGCAGTAGCAGCTCCTTAGTTGCTCAGTTCATAAGCCCCAAAAAGTGTACAATTTCAGGTTTTTAGTGTGTAATATTATCCAAAAAAGTTTAAAGTGTATCCACTCAGCTACTGAGACTCCAGCAGCATCTTTCTCCGACTGTAGAACGGATGCAACAGACCGTAGATAACTGCGGCAAAAGCATCTTCTGACAAGACCGCAAAGTCTCCTGCAAAGATCTTGCGCTTCACCACACTGCGAATGGAAGCATGCCGGAAGTCCGCTTTTGCAGCCGCTAAAAACAGGCGAATGGCGCTTGCACGAGACAGTGTGTCAGTGGTGTCCGAAACTCTCCCCACCACGAACTCCCAGAGCCACGCGGGTGGCTGCACCAACAGTTTCGCAAGTCCATGCAGCAAGAGCACAAGGTGGTCCCAAGAGCAGTCTTTCAGTAGTTGGCCCTGCATGGGGCCCTTTTCCACGTGCTGAAGGATTGACCAAATCGGTGCTGTGCTGCCATCGGCCACACCAGGCAAATCAAGCCTTGCAGCGGAATGCACCACAATGCACAACTCTTCGGGTGGCCACTTTGCAAAATGTACAGCGATTGCACGCGAGAGCTCTGCTGCCAGGTCCTCGCCAACATAGCCACGCCTGGACAGCGCGGAGATCACCATCACCACCTGGAAGTTTCAAGAAGACCAGGGAGTTCAGCACCCAGCCCTGCATAGTCTAGGCTCAACGGTGACGTCCTCATAAATACTTCCACATGCAGAAAAGGGAAACACCCAGGAGAGGAAAACGGAACCCCAAGCCTCGGCCTAAGAAACCGAAACCACCCTGACGTGGCCTCAAGGGGGCTTCGGGAACTGATCTGGGAGTTTCCGAAAATAGGGGTACCTTTTGGGGGGGGGTCCTTATAACAAGGATCCTACTATTTAGGGTACTAGATTAGGGTCCCCCATTTTCGGAAACTCCCATCTAGGGTTCAGGTGTTTCAGCACTCAGACTCGGACTTGCCTAGGCAAAGGCCGTTAAGGGTTTGGAGCTTCTGGCTTACCTGGACCCCTAAAGAACGTAAAATAATAGCCTTTTATGGGTCTTGGGCCATTATTTTACCTACTTTGGGGGTTTAAGTATGTAGAATAATAGCCTTTTTTGGTATTGGTATTGGGCCATTATTGTACCTACTTTGGGGGGTTTTAAGTATAGGGTTCCATGGCCTCAAGCGGCTTCAGCTTGGAAACGGATGGAAAGAGACCAACTTCCAGATGCGAGGTCGCCTGATCGGCCCACTTTGGCAGCTGTGGCCTACCTGGCGATTCTGAAAAGCGAAGGCCTCCTTGTCTTGGGTGGCGGGGGGGATCTCTACCATTAATATTATCATCATCAATACTATCATTATTATGAATATAGCATACCAACATCGTCAGTCCTGGCTGCATTCCCCCTTCTGCTCTTAAGCTCCCACCTGGGACAAGAGGTTCAGCACCATCACCGTACCGTGAGAGTGCATCGATGGCAAGGGCAATCTCCAGTGGAAGCAAGGCGCCATCTTCCACGAATCTCACCTAGGTTGGTCCCTTAAAGCCTCTGAAAAATATTCGTAAAATAGGGTCGTATTAAGCCCAATAAGGGAAAATATAAAATGTCCCAAAGGCCTACCTAGTCACCAGCTTCCGGAGCAACGCTCGCACCAGAGCTTCGGCATGGTCCATTGCCCTGTGGATGATTAAAGGGTTACAAAAAGGGTCCCACAAGGGTTCCTTTAAAGGGTTAATTACTATAAGGGTCCCACAAGGGTTCCTTTAAAGGGTTACTATACGGGTCCCACAAGGGTTCCTTTAAAGGGCTACCATAAGGGTACTAAGTCTTGTGGAGCCTGGCTTCGTGTCCCAATTTCGTCACTGCATGGGCAAAAGCAGCGATTCCACGGGGCTCCAGGTCTGGAACACGAGGTGGGCAGTCTTGTGAGAGTAACCTCTTGATGAATACTTCTTCATCACAGGACACTCGGACCATTGAACTCAGAAGCACACACAGATCCTGGGAAGAGTAGCCCTGCTTTGGCGTGGTCTTGAGAGCTGCAACTGCAGCCGGAACCCAGAGTTCCTTCTTCACGCGGGCGTGTGACAATGCATTCACTAACAAAGTCAAATTCCTGGTGGACATTAGCACGAAGTTGGGCACAAACTGCTGCGCAATGGCTTCCCATTTGTCTGTGCTGACGTCTGCGGACGCTTTGCTCAGATCATTCACGCACAGGCTTGCCTTGTGCAGGGCAGGTCACACTCACAACCTTTCATGACATGGCATGGATTTTTAATGTACAAATGCTGCCAACAAAAAACATTATATACCGCATGTCCGCCTCGATGAGGATCTCGCTCGTGGGCTCTTGAGCCGCCAGTGCATCCAACAGACATGCTGCCGCACGATCCCTGCAGAGTTTCTTGCTCTTGATTGCCGCGCGCAAGCCTCGCAGCGCGAACATGCATTCTCGAAAATGGGATGCCCACCCATTGGCTAAGCATGCGAGGGAAGTCTGCCAGCTCTCGTCTACCGAATCTTGATCGCGCACGGCTGCCGCGCCCTCCGGTCTGGTTCGATCACGGAATTGCGATCTTGCAAATCTCTGCGTACCGGTAGGGATTTTGGGTTCCGAGGTTTGGGCACAGGATTGAATCGTTCATGTGACGGCCTATGCTAGACATGCTTGGTGTTCAGCGAGTCTCCGAGCATGTGTTTTACCGGGAGCTGCTCGTAACCCACTCTCCGTGGCTTCCCCGACTACTGCACCCGTTGACTGTCCGATGTTAGGGGCTTTTAGGGCAGCTTGGGGGTGCCTGGAACAGCTCTGCGGAGAGCAGCTACGGGGCTCCTTTTGTTACTAGTACAATCGGCCCCAAAACCCTATTCTGATTACATATTAAGGCCCCTACTTTGACACCTGCAAAGGCGAAGCCTCTGGCGATCTGTGCAGCTTGCGGCGCAGCCTGAACCAAACGGTTTCCCTCCACTTAATTCGGGTTTACGCTCTCGCAACTCGGGCAATCCAGACGAGGTTCTTGGTCGGCAACTGAACATCTTAATTCGGGTTTAGGGTTTAGGGTGAAAAACCCTAAACCCACTTAATTGCAAGCGCGGCATGGGCCTATCAGCTGGCGTGTTTTCGGCGGATTGATTTGCCATCAGAAAGCCACTGAGTACTGGAAAGCAGCTCGGGCTGTACAGTATGTTACGATGAAACAGTCCCCGTCAGCCCGGAGCGCCCTGGCTGTGTCTGAATGCCCATGCAGTTGCGCATGGGCATCGGGTTGAGGGTTTGCAGAAAATCTTGAGTCTGCACATGCGTGCTCTTCCATGCAGAAGCATCGTGCATTCTGACTGCTAAGCAAAGGTGCTGGAACCATCCAGATTGCCCGTAGGAAACACGTGGCTTCAAACGACTCTAAAACCTTTGCGCGGCACTGCACGGCGCTTCTGCATACTTCTCCGTGCTTTACGCAGCATCCATGCTCTGTGGCAGATGCGCATCTGTATCTGTAAAGAGGCCAAACGAGACTGTACACAACACTGTGCTCTCGTTGCCACAACCGGCAGCGTCGTTCAGCCTGCACCTTGTCTTCCGCAATGACTCGAACAACCGGCCTGAGGAATCTTGGGTCCAAGCTTGGGGCATCTCAACCCTAAGCTCTATACCTGCAAAACGTGAAGCAATCCTGTGGTAAGTTCTGAAAACCGTTGTGACAAAAGTGCCTCTGGCCTATGCACTGGACATCACGGCAGCGACGAGGCGCGCCAAATTACAAGACCTGTTTTGCAAGGAGGCTTCTGTGGCAACATAAATGTTGTCAATATAAGTATTCGTAAGTGAATAAGTACACTGTCAGGATCGGAACAACCTATGATCATGCTCATTGCTACTCTTCTTTTTCGTGCGATTTCATTCTACCATCACAATAAAACATCACTACGGCGACGACGACTACGACGACGACGACTACTACTACTACTCCTACTCTTACTCCTACTCCTACTGCTACTGCTACTGCTACTGCTTCTCCTACTACCACTACCACTACCACTACCACTACCACTACCACTACCACTACCACGACCACGACCACGACCACTACCACGACCACGACCACGACCACGACCACGACCACGACCACGACCACGACCACGACCACGACCACGACCACTACCACTACCACTACCACTACCACTACCACTACCACTACCACTACCACTACCACTACTACTACTACTACTACTACTACTACTACTACTACTACCACTACCACTACCACTACCACTACCACTACCACTACTACTACTACGACTACGACTACTACTACGACTACGACTACGACTACGACTACGACTACGACTACGACGACGACGACGACGACTACTACTACTACTACTCCTACTCCTACTCCTACTGCTACTGCTACTGCTACAGCTACAGCTACAGCTACAGCTACAGCTACTGCTACTGCTACTGCTACTGCTACTGCTCCTACTACTACGAGTACCACCAGTGCCAGTACCACTAGCACTCCGACTATGACGACTACGAACAACAGGCGGCAACATGTTAATTCCCTGGCTGGCCTGCTGGCGACTTCCAAAGCTTCGGTCGTGCGATTATGAGGCTGCACTGAGCCTGTCGAGACGGCTGTGGGCTCAGGGTTTGCATGCCATGACATGATGTGCGTCCTTTTCAGCTGGGTTCGTTCTCCTAAAGCTTCGACTTTTGAACTCTCCACCTTGTACCACAAATCGAGAACCCCAAAGCTTTAGGGTCTACCTTTCTCCGGCCTCTTTGATGCACCAACGTGCAACATGACCCAAGGTCGTTGGCACATCGGCTGTAGGCGAGCCAGGCTCCGATGCGGAGAGTGTTGGAGACGAGGGATCAGTGCCTCCTCGCAGGGGCTGTTTTCTTCACAAGGGCATTTTAGGGTTCCTATAGGGGATACTAAAAGGATTCTATAATGGTTCCTATAAGAGTTACTATAATTCCATCCCAGCAAGGACGAGGGGAGCTGTTCAGGTTTGTTTTAAGACCTCCCTTTTCCGTTCGCCGATGTCCAGGGTTTCGACTCGCACACTCGCACAAGACAGGCACGGCTTCCGAGGTCTCACGGTTTAGGGAGCTTTGAAAAATGGACTCGAATACAAGCTTGCAATTAGTAAAGCTTTTGGGGCTTCAGGGAAGAAGCTCAGGGCAGTTTTGGGTAATTATCGGGAATTTGCCGGCCCCTCGCCCGACTGCAAGTGCTTACATGAGGCTTCGAACTCTTGAGGTTTCGTCTCTCACTCTCGCCTGCGGCAGGCAAGGCTCCACACAAGTCTCACTCACAAGCTTACCAAACTCTTAGCGTCTCGGGCATTATGATATGAGGGTGTGGGGTACTACGGTTGAGGGGGCACAGTGATTCCCGCCCTGCCTTCAGAGTTGCGCCCTCGTGCTCCAAAAACCAAGAAAGCCTGCTGCCCTGGCCGGATGGCAGAAGCTGCGGAAGCCATGCCGATTTCAACATGATCATGCTACAAAGCAGGGAGAGGAAGCGGTCGTAGCAATAGTACTTTAATCATAACAGTACTAAGAATGATCACCATCACAACAGCAACAATAGTAATAATAAACACAAGGTCGCAAACAGAATGAGCGTCTCAGGCCCGGGCGAAATCTGCACTGCTGAGCCGTGTCGCTCAGATCGTCCCCATGCACATCTGCCGTTTCGTCCAACTCTGTAGGAATCACGGCGTATTCAACCTCAGCATGAAGAAGGGCAAGAAGTCCTACACATGCAACTTCTCAGTTTGATCTGTCCGGCCTTCTTATCTCGCATGACAGCCTGTAGCTGGTCTGTACAAAGCCTGCAGCAGCTCATAGGTGCAGGCAGCCAAGCTTTCCTGGACTTCCCTGCCTCTCCACGGACTCCGTGAACTCGGGCGGGCCGAAAACTCGGCAGACAACTTCATCCTGTCCGATTCACACACAGCCGGTTGCAGTCTGAGTCGTGTCATGCTTGAAAGTTGGCGTTTCAAGGGTCCTTGTCTGGGCGAGCCCACTCAGTGCACAGCTGGAGTGCATAACTGGAGTGGTAGCTGCCGTCCACCGCCTGTGCTTCATGGACACAAACTCACGCAGACAAGAGCATTCCAACGCTCTGGATAGGCACAAGAAGTGCTGCGCAAGTATGACAACCAGTCAAAAACGGCAGTCACGCTGCCACCATGAACACTGTTGCCAGTCTCGGATCCACTCTGCAGCCAGGCCGAATGAGCACCACTGTGCATGGTGCCTCCCAATCAGACGACGAGCGGGCTTCGTGAAAAAGACGTATTGTTCGGAGAAGAGTTGGTGGCTGCCCAGAGGCTCCATAGTAGTTCAAATTTGGGGTTCATATATAGAATCCTACAAGGTAGTCCCCAAAAAGGAACTACTATGGAGCCTCTGGCTGTTCCACAAGTTCACTTTCCAGGTACATGGCCCGTAGACCAGGAGCTACACGGTGCGCACTCCTCAGAGGAACCTGGACGCGAATGACACCTCAAGTAGACAAGTAAACCCCCAACTCCAATATCCGAACCCGACACCATAGCCCCGATACCTAAAGTCAGGGAGACCGTCACCTCCAAAGCCGCCAAGTGAGCTGACGATCCCAGCGTGGTTCTCTGGAAGTTTGCGGAGCCCGTGTCCTGTCCGAGGGTTTGCGGCACTCGCTGTCGGGAAAGGCGGGTGAGCTTCGAATGGGGCCGTTTAAAGGTATGAGGCTTGGGCTGAACTATGCTGCTTGTGGGTCGTGATGAACTATCCACCTTGACAGCAACAGTTGCCTTGGAAGACCCACGAATCCTCCTGCAACACAAGCTCCATGAAATCCTATGCAACTGCAAATCTTCCCATCTCTCAAGCATCCTATACAACACCTATGTAAGCACAGGAAAACGCCACTTGCCTTGCGGCCGGTGCTCCCCATCACCTTAGGTAACTTTGACCTATACAGTCGTACTCGCCTCAAACAAGAACAGAGATGTTGTGGTGCGATCACAATCATACTGTAGAATTGTTTGCTCGAAAATGTAGAATACAGCATGCGATAGTGCTGGTATTGACAAGCTGGATGGATAACAAACTATGGCTTCTTCACTGCTGTAGCCTGATGTGAATAGATGCAGTGGGACATCTAAACTCCGTACGTACAGCAGTTTCTCGAAGGACAACGGTGGGCTGCAAAGGGCTCGCTGCGAATCACGTGTTTCGGACATACATACCTGCCAAGCGACGAGGACATCCGCTCCCGAGATCGCAGCAAAGTTCACGATCATTCCTGTTTTTCCATACTATTACTATAACACCGGGGTCCCTACAACATGAGAGAATCAGATGATGCACCTGCTGCAGCCTGTGAGGGATTATTCCGTCGTTGCCCTTCTGGTTCAACGTCGGCCCATCTAAAGCTCTAGGTCCCTAGGTGCAGACAAGCCACGGGAAATTTTGATGGCTTCAGCTTTCTCCTGCTCAAAATCGGGTTTATGTACGGACGATGAAACGGTAGGTGGTAACATAATACATACTTATAACAGCATTTACAAAACCAAGTAAATGCATGGATACATACATTATGCATACACGAATCTATGTGCATCTACACGTGTAGGTGACATAACATAGGTTCTCAATTGTTCCACGCAAAAAGTTCAGCCGCCTTTTGATGCACTGTCATGAGCAGGCGGCCATTCGCAGAGCTGTAATCCACCTGCACGGTGTCGCTTTCTTCAAGTGTCATGCCGAACCATATTTAGAAGTTTGCGCTGCAAGCCGGAGCTCAACTACACCATTCTCACGACTCAAACTCGCGAGAGTCTTGTTGTTCTTCTTTTGCCCGCCCTTTTCTTTTGCAGCAGACACTCAAAACCCAGAGATTCTTGGTCCAAGCTGCTTGGCAGCTGAACCTCAACGATCATGGCTCTGCAAGCAGAGGGATTGAACCGATAGGTCTACCTCTGGCAGCTCCTCCTCATCCTCATCTTCCTCTGCTCCTTGGCCTTCCTTGGTTTGATCTTGTCCAGAATTTGCTCCTGGGCGTTTAAGTAACCAGGGAGAAAAAGTATACACTTCATAATGGTCCCATCAGGAACAAAAGTATTAAAGTATGCTACTCCAAAGCCCAGGCTCGCATCGCTTCGGTCAGTTTGGCTCTGACCTGGGCATGCTGAGCGAGTTGGGCGTGTTTGAGGGCGGAGCGCCCGGCGCCGTCCACGGCCCTCAGATTCGCCCTGTGAGTGATGAGAAGCCTCGAGAAACGGAGATGCCATGAAATTAGCACAGAGACATTTCTGCTCGACTCAGCTGCAAGAAGCAAAGGGTGACATGCTGCAATAAACCAATTCTATACATACATGATATGAGCGAACATGTAACCATACCGACATGTACATGCATGTCGATGCTGATCCTTACGGATATGTAGATGCATATCATGATGTATAACACTAAATCACGCAACTATGAGTTGCTTACACCCTCCAGGCGTGGCCACGCAACTCCACCAGCTCGTCGTGCCCAGCCCGTGCTGCACAGATCAGGGGCGTCCAGCCATCGCCATCCGAGGAGTTGACAAGTGCCTATCAAAACCCGGTACGAGGGTTTAGGGGTTTAGGGTTTAGGGGTTTAGGGGTTTAGGGTTTAGGGGTTTAGGGTTTAGGGGTTTAGGGGTTTAGGGTTTAGGGGTTTAGGGTCTTACGTGGCTGTAAAAGGAACCCTGAGATAGGGAATGAAGGTTCCTTGTATGCATGGATCCTGCTTTGTAGTGTCGGGAATCTATCTAGACAGGTTTTCCGAATGCTCCGATATTCCCCTTTGACTGCTGCGACCCCTGGACACCGAAGCTAACATCCTAAACCCTAGGCCGCACCCGAAGCCCCTGCAACGCTGCAGCTGCAAGCCTCCATAAAACCCTGAAACCCAAAGCCTGCCTTTGACTCAAGGAGCTCTTCAGCAACGGCAAGATGTCCTGGATTGCAGTACTGCCGGTTTGTTGATCTTTATGTGCCATGTCTGTTTGCTATGGGTTCACGGAAGTTTGAGATAAGCTCTGTGGCGCTTACAGTCTCGGCTGGTTTTGCGTCCTGCGTTGCTAGTGCGAACCTGTCAGGCAGAGCTTGGTTCCCGGATTGAACACTTCGTGATTTGGGCTAGAAGCTTATAGGGTTTAACCCCAATCCCTAAACCCTTTAGGGTCACAATGCCCTGAGAGGTTTGACTCGGGAGTCCTCCATATGCTGCAATCTGCAGCGGCGTCTCCCCCTTCTTGTCACAGCAATGGGCCTCCGCCCGGGATTGAAGCAGTAGCCTGGTACCTGGGTTTGCTGTCTAATGCTTGACGGCTTCAACCACAATTTGAGTCTGATTTCAGGCTTTTTTCGGAGTTTGTGTTGTATCGGGCTCTTCTTTTTCAGTTATATAGGGTTCAAGCTGAAGGGTTTACGCTCGCGCAACTCGGACATGCCTGACGAGGTTAAAGGTTTAGGGTGTTGTGACAGGATGCAATCAAGATGGCCGGCTTTCGCTGCGAAGTGTAGTGGCTGCCGGTATTTCACATCTTTCGTCTCCTGTGTAGGATCCTCGGCCCGTGTCTGGTGCGCAAGACTGGCCTGAAAGCTCGCCTTCTCTAAATTGAGCTATATAACAGAACATGCTATAGCAATGTAGAATGATATTTGACAAAACCTAATCTAGTAACCTAGTAAATATGATATCTGTAGAAGTCCTTTTGCCGTCTTTTCGAGTCGCGGCCTTGTAGCCAGCACTTTACACGAAGCAGAAAAAGCACAGAAGCTGATCCGAGGCTCCGCGTGCCGTTTGAAGAGATACTCCAAGAGGTCACAGACGCCAAAGTGGGCGTAGACGTGAGTCAGCCTGGGCTCTTGCTAACAATCTGGGCTTGAAGTTACCACAAAAAGGACACCGTAGATTTTTACAGTTTAGGGCTTAGGGTACTCAGAAGTGGAAAGTGTGGTGATAAACATCCGCACATGTCCCCTGAGCATGGCTGCCGGCATACACTCAAAGTCCGTGCTTAAAAAGGGTTTAGGGTACAATAGACCCCCTATTATCGCAACTTTTTTGAACCCAGGCTCTGCTCCATCATCAGCTGGGAATCGACAACTAACATGACTACTGCATTATTATCGCAACTTACATCAAGTTCCTTACCCAGCAGCTGGCACAGACCACAGGAGGGATTCGTAATCCAAGCCTGGAGAAACTGAGGAAAGCTCGGCATGCTGATCAGAAAGTATGCCCAAAACCACAAACCATTATATAGGTTTTTTTTTTGTTTTGAATGCCTTTTTCCTCCTTGCAATTAAGGTCGGTGGAATCCGGTTTAGGGTTTAGGTTTATTTAGAGACTTAGAGGAATAAAGCCTAGGTTTTGCTGGCCTGTCCTGGTAGAGGGGCGGCAGATCTGAAGCAACAATGCCTTTGGAAAGGCGTTCCAAATCGTCCAGCGAACACTGGGCGCCCAGTCCAAGATATCTCAAGGCTATTTCGTGGTCCGCTTGGGACATGCTGTAATTGAAAACGGGGGTTGCCAGCAGTCTGCAAACACCTGCATCAAACTCAGTAAACCACGCTTTGCCGAAGCCACGGATACTGCATGCTCCCGTCGCAAAGTGCGTGCGAAAGATGTCAACGGGAAATGCGGCTTTCACTGATGAGTTCATAATTTTGTGCCAAATGCTGATCTTGTCGCCCAAATCACCTCCGCAGCAGAGCTGTCAGCGGAGTAACACATGTAAATGCCAATCATGCTGGAACCGACTCTCAGAGCCTTGACAACTGTATGCATGGCAAGTGGGAGTGTCCGAAGATCGGGGACCCTGGCATAGTATTTTAAATAGTAGGATCCGTATTATAAGGACGCCAAAATCAGGTACCCCTAATCGTCAGAAACTCCCAGGTAAGGCGGGCACTGGAGCGCGCATCAAAGGCGCTGAGGTTCTGAAGCTCCTCGGCGACGGTCATCGCGAACTGGCCGGAAACTTCCAGCTCCTCTGCGCTGCCTCTGCATAGGAGCAAGAAGTGCTTCTGCTTGATTGAAATTCTGATATCATCCTTGCACCCTAACCCCGGAATAAAAAAACCGCAACTCCCTTTTTTCAGCAAGGATTTGCAGTATCTTGCAGGGTATGCCCCCTAAACCCGACACCCTGAGACTCCTATGCAAAATTTAAAACAGATGCGAGGAAAGAAATCTCCGGCCTTCAGGACGGTCCGTAATCAGCTGCAGGTTCTTGCCCAGCTCCCAGGCTCGCTGCACCTTGCCGGATGCTTCCGCGAAAAAGCAAGGACCCCCAAGACAAGATAATTACAGAACATTATATGTACATTATGTGCGTATAACACACGAACACAGACACATATCTATCTGTATATATATATATATACACATGTGTATATATATATATATATACAACGTATACCTACCTACCTACCTACCTACATGCAAATATACATGTATCTAGTGTGCATATAGATAGATAGAAGGATAGGTAGGTAGATAGGAACATTGGTAGATAGACAGGTGTACAGCGTGACAGTGCATGCACAGCAGATACACAAACAATATGTGCATATACTACTATCACAGTACATGCAACATACACATCTATGTGTGTTTGAATGTGATCGTCTATTGTCTTGGTGTTTTTTGCTGGTGTGGTTGTTGATGCCTGGCCTCGTACAAACACCAGATCCTCCTGAAAGGCTCCACGCCCTCATCCAGAACCATGACGGCTCCCTTCTCTGCCTTGGAGAGGCCGTAAGCGAAGGGCGTTCTCTCCAGCTCGCAACCAGAAAGTTCTCCTGCTAAGTCATGCTGGTTCCTGGGTTGTTGTCACGAACTTCAAGTAGGCTACCCGTTTCTTTACTATAGATCCCGCCTTGGTTGCTTATACCAAGGAAGTACTGAAACAAGAACCAGGTACAGGGCGAAGAGGCATATCCAAAAAGCGACTTTTTGGATTTCCCCTTGACAGCTCTTGGCGCAGGAGTCCAAAGCCACCAGAGTCTTCGCGAATGGGTGCGACCAAGAATGACTCACGAAAAAATCGCAGTGCAAGCCGATCGGGTTCTTCAGTTGAGAAAAGGACATACTTTCCTGCGGTCGTCCCGGAATCACCGCTGTCGTCAGCACATCCAACGGAATCACGAGAACCTCAGCAAAGCCCACACCTTGTATCCCAAATCCTTAAACTTGAACCCAAAGCTCAACACGTTTATCTCCAGACCCGAACACCACAACAAAACAGTGTCCAGCCTAGGCACAGGCCAAGCAGACTCGTCATTAAGGCCAGCCGTGACAGGTCTGACAAAGAAGCGATCCAAGGCATACAAGTCTTCCTTCATCTCTTCACCTCGGAACTATGTCTTATGGGTCCTTCGAAATATGCCCGTTGAGTAGTTGGCTAGCTAGCTAGCTTGCTTGCTACAGGCATGTAGGGCTGAGGTTGAGGTCGTTCGTGTTCCGTGATCGGGGCCGAGCTTTGAGCGACTGCTTTGCGATGCTGAGGCAGGCACCGGCTGTGCCATTTTTTCTGCACTCTTTCGCCAACCATCCATCCTGGAGGAGCACCGACCGAAGAACGACGGACAAAATAGCAGCATCAGTGGGTTGAGAGGTAAGCAGAAGGAGCCGCTTGCACGATTCAGTGTTGAAGCACGGCTTATGGACCGTTCACAGATCCCTATACTACACTATATACTTCGTTATCGACATACAAATATATATATATATATATATATACATGCATATACATGTTTTGTAGCATACCACAACATACTCTAAGATACCATAGTGTACCCGAAAACTTTGCCTGAGGTGGGTCGGGATGCATGGTGGCCACAGCCGCACGCCTCGCCGATGGCCCGCAGCTGCTCCAACCTTAACCACCCTTGTCCTTTTAGAAATAATAGACAGAGCCCTATACCTATATCCCTTATAGTAGGACTTATTTAAGAAGGTCTACTAGCCGGTCTGTTTATTCTTTTGGGGGCACCATGAAAAAGGACAAGGCTGACCTTAACACTTCTTTTTGAACCCGGAGCTCTACCCCAGGCAGGTGAGGTTGTTTGAAGGATCATGGGTTTAGAGGTTCGACGCTCACACTCGGACAATCGTTTAGAGTTTAGGGCTTGAGGGCTTTCTGACTGTATTTGAAGTCACACTAGCTGTGTTTGCCATGGGCTCGTGACTGTCTTGTGCCTCTCTTGGCATGATGGAGAGACCGCGCGCATGTGGGACGGTTCTAGCACCGGCGGTTGACAGTGTACGCCCAGATGCACAAGTCTTGCATCTCAGTGTTGGCATCCAAAAACCCTTTCGGACCTTATCCCCAAATCCTGTTTCGACTCTGACAGTTTGGGCAATCCGGGTGAGGCGCCAGTTTAGGGTTTTGGGCCCAATCAAGTCGTTTTTTAGGTGTTTTTTCCGTCCTACCTAGCAGGGACAAAGCCCGCATTGCCGGGTGACTCCGAAGCATGACATTGACGGCTAATTACCAGGGCTTGGGGTTTAACTAAAGTCGCACTGGAAAAAGTTTGTACATGACGGTTTCCACCTCAGGAGATTGCATGCTGCTGCCCAGGAGCTGCATGCCCCGACGCCCAAAAGGAACAACTCCGGGCACCTTGGCACACATTTTTTTGTCACTTGCACTCGACAAAGTCAGGCTTTGCACAAGTTACATGGGGTTGATGGTTTTGTTTTGGAGAATACTGTCGCGAAAAGTGGCTATCTGCAAGTATCCCATGTTGTGCAAATGTGCGAGTCGAGAGAGATGTGGACTGTGCTTGTCAACACATGCATCATGCATGCCTACACCATCCTATAATACGGCGCACGTGTAGTTGACATTTTTGCAGGTAAGCAACCTGGGTCTCGACAGCAGAGCACTAGAGCACGGACACGACAGTATTGTGCTAACAACCTTCGAGTCTGACGCTTGCAATCTTGGCTTTGTTCTGTCCAGGTCCTGAAAGAGCTGCTTTCGAACCCCAGAAGTCCGAAAACCGCAACGTCAAAATCTAAACCCAAGATACCTACAGGTACTGGCTCGCGGCCTCTGTCCTGGAGCAAACCCGTAACTTGGCACATCTGCACATCCCTGCCTCCCGGAACCTTTCCTGGAACGCACGCCAAACCTAAAAAAATCTACGCATCCCGGCCTCACGACCGCTTTCCTGGAGCTCGCTCACCAACGCATGGAACTCGGCTCGGCCGAGCTCTTCCTCGATCTCCTTGCTGAGCAGACCCAGGCCTGGCAGATCTTCACCAACGACTCTGGGCTTTGGGCTTTCTTGGGTACCTATGTACGTACATACATACATACATCCATGCATACATATATATATATATATATACACATATGATGTATACAGGTGTATATATATATATATATGTACATATACATATGTATATATGTATATCTATATAGGGATGCCACATCAGGGTTTCTATCATGGTGTGACAGGTTGTGTATGTAGAGGGTTCGAGAAGAGGTTCTTCCAGGGCTTATGCGGTTTGGTATGTTTTTCAATCTAGGTGTGCTGATGCGATTTTTATTGGGGGCTGTAGGATGCACGGCTTTAAGGTTTTCGGCACTCGCAACTCACAACCTTACAAAGTCGGTTGGGAGTATCGCATTGTGCACACCTAGTTAAGACACCATTGCGAAAATATTCTCACTTTGTTCCCCAATAGCCACCAGGTTTGGGGTCCATGGCTTACCAAATCGCAGGCGCGTCGACCGCGATTTTGGGGGAAACGTGTCGTAACCCGGTGGGCGTACCGGTCGTGCTTCTGTCAGAGTCCCGGTCGTGTGTGATCGGCGTCCCAGTCGTGTCCCGATCATGTGCAATGTACCCGTCACGTTGTCACGTCGAGGTCGGTGTCCCGGTCGGTGTATCGCTTGTGCCCTGGCTTGGTCGGTGCCCCGTCGTGTCGTGGTCGGGTGTTCCGGTCGTGTCCCGGTCGTCATGTCGCGGTCCGCGTCCGTGTTGTATTCCGGTCGGTGTATCGGTCGTGTCTTGGTCAGTGTCCCAGTCGTGCGCTGGTCGTTGCCCAGGTCGAATCTTGCTATTGGGGTCCGAAATTGAGTTATTTATCCCTACTTGTCGGGTATCATGGGGAACTAAAGGTTAACCTTTTTTGGTTATACAGGGATTATATAGGGACTATACTACCCAAACAAGGTTAAAGGTTGCCTACTCTACTACTAAGTATCACTCGCGACTCGGAAGCTCCAGGCCAGGACTTGGAAGCTCCAATCGACTCGGAGCACTTCAGAAAAGTCGTGTCATCCGTATTTGACGGGAGGCAAAAAAGCTTAAGATTCTTGGGGCAGGTATTCCTTAATATGAACCCTATTGTGGGAACCTAATCCCTACTAAACCCCCCTAGGCTAAAACCCCTTTTGGCCTCCTATGAGTATTCTCGGGCTTCTGGGCGCAGTAGAAAACAGGAAAACACTTGTTGCAGCCAGCAGCGCAAGGGCTTGGGAGTAACGGGCAGCAAGAAGAAGTACGACCACAGCGGTTATGCTCATGAAATAACAACATGAAAACGAAGGCCTGACAAAGCCATCCGGATCTCCTGGAAGAATGTGCGGCTTACGGCGCTCTCCCAACCACTGCCACTTCAAGACTGAGGAATGCAGCGCACTCGACGGTTAGAGAGGTTCTGACAAACCCGCTCAGGCATCTCAGGCAAGACTAAGATTATATACCACATATTCAATTGCTGTCATAATTTGCATTTCTGCTATTCGTATTACTACTAATTACTATTGTTATGGTTATTATTAACGTTACTATTGTTCATTGTTACTACGACTTGTTATTATTCTTATTATTATTGGCTCCTGCTTGCAGAGGCGACCTGCTCCCTGCAAGTCGCAGACATCGAACACTGCATCGACAAGCCTCAGAACTTGGGGCACGGAGCCGTCAGGCGGGGCCAGAGAGGCTGCGCCTTGACTCGATAGGTCAATAGGTGAACGGATGTGCAAGCTTCTATCTGTTTACAAATAAAAATTATACATATATCTATATTATATATATATATATATATATACACATACATACATACATTTTTCTAGTAGCAGCTAGCTTTTTTCCCTCCTACTTGTAGCAGCTAGCTCAGTTCGACGGCTCGAAGCTGTTAGACTGCTAGACTGGTAATCGGACGTCATGTCAAGGACGTGCTCTTTTGCAACGGTGCTGCTCAGGCTGAGCTGACAGCTTCGCCGAACCCGGCACGGAAGCAGCAGACCCCATGGCGAGACACCAGAAACTGAGTGAGCGGCTTAACCTCGGAGACTCTGAGCCAGTGAAATGCTTCGACCATCGGAGCAGGAACACACAGGTCTGCATGCACGAAAGCACACACACACAAGCGCGCACAGAGAGAGAGAGAGAGAGAAGCAGACACCCTCAGCGTCATCGTCAGCATCTTCTATAAACCTCACAAGCCAAGATCTACATAGTTCAAACACTGTTACAAATTCTTTTCGCGAATCGCAATGATGCTAGCTGACTTGCTCGAAGCACCGCCTCATCCATTTCTCCAGACTTCTGCTGTGACAGGATGCGAAGGCCACGAGCTCCCTCCAGCTCCTGCCATCTGCTTCATATGACGGATCATGGGACATAGGAGTAGTTTAGGATTTAGGCCCCGCAGGCTCTTGAGGGCCTGTACCGGGGCTCTGAGTTGAGAGTCACAGGAGCGGTTGTACTTGGTGTGACGAGTGCCCTAACTGAAGAGATCTTAGATTTCACACCGCTATAGATAACACTGCTAATGATCTACTTGTGTCCTGTTGGTAACTCACTATGCGCCAGACGCGGGAATTCAGGAACCAAAACAAGGGACCGAACTGCTTGTGCTGTAAGGACGTCTCCTCAATCTTGAAAACTCACCCCCGCTCCGCATACCAACGAAGTACAACAAGTACAGCACAAGACCCTAAACCCACAGGCAAGGCCCCAAACCATAATACCAAACTTCTTCCCTCTAAACCCTAGGCCCTATACCCGAAACGCCAGCGAAACTTAACAAGCCCGTGAAAAAAATATTGAACGGCGAGAAATATGCAAGCAAAGCCCTACAACCCTACACCGTAAACCCCTACACCCAAAGCGCTTCAACGCTGACCTCTGACAGGCGCTTTTGCAAGTTGTCGAACTCAAACTCATCCAACGCGCCATACCTGGCTGAAGGATACTACATGTGAAGCTATCCTTGCATGGTTTGCTACCTCTCGCACTTTCTTTCTTCAGATGGGATTACGCAAGCGTGCCCTCAACGCAGAGGCTTCTCCAATGGATAACCACAGGAGGGATGCACCCAGAGGAACATGCAAGCTGTGCAAACACACAGGGCACTGTAAAACTTCAAAACCAGACCTGATAGCTAATATAGACCACTCTCGGCTCGTTTCCAACAAGACCTCAACTGATCCGGGCCTTGCTGCTCTCCTCCGCTTGTGACCAATTCAGGTTGCACTCAACCTATTCTTGGATGAGGATAAAAACACGTTGAATCCTACAACGCGCTGCATGTCTCTGTTGCAAGCTTTTCTAGCCCTGGTCTCTGCATGTGTGTATATCTCAGCTGTCGGCTGTAATCATCTTCGAGTGCAACTTCAGCAAGTCACTTGTAAGGCAGTGGAGCACATGCCGAATTAAAAAAGGCAGTGGGGCTGTCTTCGCAGCTCTGCGCGGCAATGCCGAAGCTTCAGCTATTGTGAAGTCTTAAAGCGGCTGTAGCGACAGCGGCGGCAGAATTTGCGGAAAGCGAGTCGGCGCTTTAGGCGGCGGGGTGGTGGCCCCAGGCACGGGCGGCAAAGAGTCTCATTGTAGGAAGGCGGAGCGTAGTAATGGGCAGTTTTGTTGCAGGAATAAATGTAGCCCAGGGCCTCGGTGTTCCGGTCACCAGATTGCTCAAGTCGATCAAAGCCTGCAAGGAGAGCAGCTTTTTTTGAGATGTGGACGCCAGCATAGATGTCGATTGACACGTCGGGCATCAAGGCCAAATCCCATCCACTGGAGCTTTTTTCGAAGATCCTGAGGGTGCCATCCAAATTGTTTGGGTCGTTAGATCTCGGTCCTGCAGTCACAGCTGCCCTGCCAGAGTTGGAGATTGAAACGTCCACAAACCCCGACCTGAGTTGTCCTTCAAGCCCTTTGAAAATTATCTACTATTATGGTTCTCTACAAAAGACTAGGGGAAATCAAAAAAAGATCCCAAAGGACAACCCAGCGACTCATTGAAATCCAGCACCGTCCGAAAGGCCTCCGGCCAGGAACCGTCCTGGCGCTCGTGGATGGTGACAACGTACCTATACTGAACTCAGAACCCTAGCAAAAATTATATTTTTGGCTGTTTCTTAGGGATTATAATAACCAAAAAATAAAAAATATTTCTAAGTACCCCTAAGGTACTCGGTTCTCGGAAATGCCCTCGTCGCCCAGGCCACGATGAGGTAGTTGTCATCGATGGCCAACGCATAGATGAAGTTGCTGACCGTGGAGTTGTAGGGATCTGCAACGCTCGCCACTGGTCCCAACCACTCGGCGCTGGTGCCATTCCATTCGTAGATGTCAGCCGTCGACAACGACGGCCCCCCCGGCCCCCCTACTTGCGTGACATATCGGCGTGCAACCAAGCTGGTCTGATCATCCATGGCAAACATGGGAGTCGCCCTCGATGGGAACTCAAAGTATGCAGAAGTCAATTCAGACCAGCCTGTCCCTGACGCTGGCAGCTCGAATGTCTTGAATCTGTTCTTGCCATTCAGGCCTCTTACGACCACGATTCGATTTCCGCCCAAGTGCAACTCCCTGACCCCGAAGATATCCTCCATGCCCAAGAAGTTCCACGAAGCGCCATCGAATCTGAAGGTGTGCAAAAAAGCTTGGTCTGGATTTGAACGCACCTTTGCAGCCACAACCAAGTTTGCACTGCTGATGGCGACTTCGCTTTTCGCCCAGCCTTCAGTCAAGGACACATTCTGAGCAGCAATTTCCGTGAGATTGGCGCTCGACTCCCATCCCGATGACCCCTTGTAGTACCGTGAGCCCGGGTTCTGGTAGACCAGCACCTGGTCCAGATTTCCTGTCTGGGACCAGGCGAGAAGGCCGAACTCTCCCGCAGCATCTGCAAAGCCTCGCAGTACCCCGCGCAACGGGGCTGCCGGTAGAGGGGTCACGCTCAGCTGCTCTCGCCAACGGCTGCTTGAGCTACAGCCTTTGAAGCGTTTGCCTGCTGACAGCACGCCTTGTCGTGGTCGAAATTGCAGCAAGCAGGAGGTCTCGTTCACGCCCTCTATCATCCACGCCAACGATGCCAAAACCGCAAGGTGCTGCCACATGGTCTACAAGGGTACTACTTTGATCCAAATGCTTCAAAGTGACTTGAGCCGATTTGCCTCGCCTCCGGCCAGGTAGGTTGAACGCAACCCCGTTTCACACTTCTGAGCAGCATTGAGCGAGCAAGAGCGCCTTCCAGGATTTCGCACATGGTACACGAGCCTCGTCCAGCGAAAATCCCAAAGCGGATTCATTACCCCTCAAACCACTAACGTCACTAAAGGTACCTTCTTGACATGTTGGGGTAGAGCGACGTAGGAAGTACTTTTCGTGGAGAATGCCCCAAACTGCGAGCTTTCCCCCTGAGGGCCCCACAGCTGATCCCCCGGCCGAGACAACACGTGGATGGTTGCCCGCAGGGCTAGAGTACCCAACCTCAGGCTTCTCCCCAGACCCCCAGAGCAAGAAAAACCGAGGCCTGTATATACATATATATATATATCTATATGCATATCATATCATATCCTATCGTATATATTTCTATATATCTACATATGTCAATCCGAAAGCCCCTAAACCCTAGAAGCCCAACAGCTTACTAGGCTATATCAAGGCTAGAACCTCAGCATAAAGTGACGGCCAAGGAGCTCGCTGCCATCCCAAGCTACAAGGAATCGCATCCTTCGCGTCATCGGAAAGTTCAATTCTGTTCTGTCCCAAACCCCACAACTAATACTTGACACCCTAAACCTTAGCACCCGAGAGTTCCTGGACCCTAAGGCCCTACAACAGCAACCCTAAAGCCTTCAACCTTAAAGCAAACTTTCACCCTCGAGCCTGGCCTCGGCCAGGGGGCTCCCCCAGCAGGACTTCGAGTTCATGCCGAGGAATCGCTAAGAGCTGGCTGATGGCTGGAAAGCCGCGAGAGGCCGTCAGGGCACCACGGACAAGGAGGGGGCGGTTCAGGGTTAAGGGGGTGTATGGGGATTTAGGATGGGCTTTGGGTTCCAAGTTTAGGCAGGGATCTGCAGACCTATAGGGCTCCAATGCACCCAAAAGAGCCAGCTTGCACAGCAAAATGCGCTGTCTGTCTAACGCTGGATGGCGGATAAATTTCGAGATCTTCACGCGGAAATTAGCGCCACGGGAAAAGCCTCACCGTCCAGGCAGGGGTGAGGCAAAGAACCTATGAATCTCAATGCTCCTAACATCTCCTGAAAACTTCAAGTCACCAAAGGAAGCTTCGCTTCCTTAGCGGCGACTGGTGATGCTGATAGCTGTTAGTCGGTAGTAAAGGCCCCATAAGTACCTCGCGCGGACTATCTCAGCGACGCTGTCAACTGCTGGAGGTTCAGGAGGTGTTGCATGCTGTGGAACCGGCCAGAGTCATTTTAAACGAACCTGGCCCAGGCAACAAGCACCATGGTCAATACTGCGGCACCACTCGAACTGATGCTTGACGAGAGCTCCTCCTCTTCAGACTTAGACACAGTGGTCGTGCCCGATGTCTTAGCCATAGTCACAGTCTTTGTATTTGTCACCGTAGACCCAGTCGTCACCGTCGTTGTGGTGTGGGTGGCGGTAGAGCTGGGTGAGGCACTTGCGGTTGAAGTCGTCATGGTGCTGGTGGCAGCGGTAGAGCTGGAAGAGGTGCTTGCTGTTGAACTCGTCACACTGACAGTTGATGAGAGTGGTGTGCAGCTGCCGCAAGACAGTGGGCAGTGCTTCAACACCATATCTTCGACCTCTTGGGCATAGGAAAAGACTTCCACGGCCTGCGTGCAGTCGTACCCCTTCCACCCATCGCACCTGTATCCGTAGGGGTCCGCGAAGTACGCCGTGTCTGTGCAGTCCGTACCTGCACGACAGGTGCCGCAGCTGAAAGGGCAGTTTTCTATAAGCTCTGCCATGTCTGCAGGCTGGTAGCCATACTGGGATGTAGCTGTGGTGCAGTCGGTGCCTACCCACTGAGTGCAAAGGTGTCCGTTGCCAGTTCTGAACCCGACGGTGTCGCAGCAGCTGCTGTTCGTCGCCTCGCAAAGAGGACACCTCATACAAGTCGCCTTGCACTTGTCCAGCAGCTCAACCCTCTCCTGGTTGGGCAGGCCGCCAAGCACGGGATCGCAATCATAGTCCTGCCAAGTCCAGCATTCTTCGCTCCAGCGATCTAAGTATTCCCCATCGTCGCAGCATGAACCATGGCATCTCGGCGGGATCATCATATGATCAGCTGGTGGTGAACTCATGACATCATTGATCCAGTCCAGGTATGTGAACACTCGGGTGAACACATCGCGCCCGGCTGCAGTGTGCGAAACGACCCCCACCTGCATCAACTCGCCACTCTCCTTCACAAACAAAGGCCCGCCGCTGTCGCCACAGCCAGCACCTGCCATATCTTTGCCTGTGGCATTGATGTGCTCGGTACAGATACGCTCCGTCCAGTTGAAAAACTGGCTGCCCAGCGCGCAGGGCTCACCCCCCACGATGTGAGAATCGCCCTCTTTGAGGATGAACTCATACTGCATGCACGCCTCGTCAATGCTTCCCCACCCAGCGAGGAGTGCCTGTGACCCGTTGTGGCGCGCCTCGGAACTCTCCAGCTGCACCAGCGGGACGTTTGGGAGGGATTCGGGCAAGCGCAGCAAGGCGATGTCGTTATCCAGGCTGTCCATGTCATATTCCGGGTGCACCACGATCAAGTCGACCCCCTTCTTGTCCCAGGCGTTCTGGTCCCTGGATGCTAGGGACCATACTTGGTAGTCGTTAGCGAAGCTTTTCGCAGTTTTCAAGCAATGAGCCGCAGTCAGCACCCAGCGATCTCGAATGATGGTCCCTCCGCAGATATGATAGGTCGTACCAGAACTCGTCTCAAACTGCAATGACACCAGGAACGGGAAAACATCAGCGAATCGATCCCAGTCCACCTGCCTGTCTGAGCCGTCGTAGCCTCAGGCACTGCGAAGGCGTGACAGCATTCAAGCGAAAGTCACCCGGCTACAGCGATACACTACTCTTATTACTACTAGCTATTACTGATTTGTTATGAGTTAAGGGTAATTTTTTATTATTGTTAACTAGTATCATTGTCTACAAATGTCTACAATAGCCTGATTGTGTGATCGAATCTGGGGCGCAGGCTGTAAACCAGGCGCCTGTCCTCCTCAGCGATGCTGCCCGTGAGGAGAGCCAGCAGGAATAGGAGCCCAGAAGGCATCCCCCCTAACCCTCTAGGTGTAAACGTACCCTGAACCCCTAAACCCTCTCCCCTGAAGCCTAAACCCTATAGGTATCTATTCTGAACCCTAAACCCTATACCCTGGACCCTAAACCCTAGAGGTATATACCCATTTGTCTAAACCGTTTCCGATGAACCAGAAACCCTACACCCTGACCTCAAAACCATAGCCCCTAAACCGCTTGCTCCGGGACTTCCGAGCCCAACTTGAGCCGCCATTCTAAACATTCAGGGATGCCGGAGCCCTAAGCCCTAAACCCGGGGTGTGTCTGTCTGTGTCTCGTACAGATAGGCAAATAGACATGGATCTGCACACACACAGATATATATATATATATGGGCGTTGATCAATGTTCTTGTTTCTGGAAATGGTTTCTTCGCGGATTATTGCTTTCCTTTCGCGGAACTTTCGCCCTCACTTTCGCGCGACATGTTTGAGGTAGTCGTAGTAATAGTAGTAGTAGTAGTAGTAGTAGTAGTAGTAGTAGTAGTAGTAGTAGTAGTAGTAGTAGTAGTAGTAGTAGTCGTAGTATAGTAGTAGTAGTAGTAGTAGTAGTAGTAGTAGTAGTAGTAGTAGTAGTAGTAGTAGTAGTAGTAGTAGTAGTAGTAGTAGTAGTAGTAGTAGTAGTAGTAGTAGTAGTAGTAGTAGTAGCAGTAGCAGTAGCAGTAGCAGTAGCAGTAGCAGTAGTAGTAGTAGTAGTAGTGGTGGTGGTGGTGGTGGTGGTAGCCGTAGTAGCAGTAGTAGTAGTAGAAGAAGTAGTAGTAGTCGTAGTAGCAGTGGCAGTGGCAGTAGCAGAAGTGGTAGTAGCAGTAGTAGTAGAAGTAGTGATGGTAGTAGGAGTAGCAGTAGCAGTAGCCAGGCAGCAAAAGCCGACTCCAAGTCGTGGGCCATGGCGTGTGCCATGGCCTTCAGACGACGGGGCTTCTTTCGCGGCGTCTTTCGCGCAACTTTATCGGATCTTTCGCGCTAAACCTACTATGATTTCACAAAAATATGTACCTTCTGACGTTGATGCTGCGTGTACGTCGGAAAGACCTATCCTTGAAGGGCAGAGGCCTGAATGAAAGGCACGACCATGCCCAACTCCCACACCACCTCCCACACTTTGTGGACTGGCAGCTGGGCGGTTTAGCTTTGGGTATATTACGGTATATTATAGCATGGCGGGACAGCGAGTTTGAGATCTGTATGCCTACGGACTGGTACAGCATACACCATACACGTCCTATAGGACCAAATCTATTGCGCAACAACTTTCGCGGATTTTTGCTTTCCTTTCGCGGACCCATCGCGCATCTTTCGCACACACGTAGTTTAAATGTTAAAAACCGTTTTATATAAATCCCACACAAGGACCTTTAGATCAATGCTCATATATACATAAACACGTACAGCGATAGCTGTAATGATGAATTTCACCTCTGCTGCCGAAGGCGTGCGACATGATAATACATTGGCTCATATGTTCAAGTCGCTACAGTTTTCGTGGACACTCTACTACATGCACTGACTAGCACTGTGTAATTGGTTACATATTGGTTCCCGCTGCCTATGTGCAGGACTTGCCTTCAGCTTACCCCTTGCCATTGCCTCTCACAAACTGTTCAAGGTCCAGCTGAAGCCGCTGCTTTCTCCACTTTTCCCACCACACGTCCCCTTAATCCATGACAAGCACGGCATTTCGAGAGGAAGCCTTGCCGATTGATAGGCCTTCCATAGCCCTTGTCGGCCTCAGCACAGCTTCCATTCCGGAAGATGCATCGAACTGCAGAGCTCACGAGTTTCTGCAAGCTGTTGCTGCATTGCGTTGCAAAGTTACTTTTTGCTGTCTTATGCAGACTGGCTTTCCTCTAAACGGACCAACCGGGTGGAGGCTTCGGATGTACTCGCTCGACATGGGTGCAGAACACTTCCGTGTTGTACCTTGGATGAAACAGGTTGACTGTGCCTGCGGGGTCGTGGCTCCGGGACTTTGGTGACTCCAGGAGAGAGGGTGCGGCAAGGTTGCTCGTAGGTGACGATCCATCTTTGGCACGGTCTGCAGTAGATTCCTGTCCCGTTGGACTTGAGAGCCCCCGCGTAGGGGTGGTCGAATGCCGCATCCCAAGATGTTCTCTTCTGCTTCACTGCTGCCTGGATGGCCCCACGATCGTCCTCCTTCTTGGCTACGACCGCATCGGATTTCGGCGCTGCTTTTGCTGTGGTTGCCTGTGGCTTCTTGGGCTCTGCGAAATCAAAGTCCGCAAAGGGATCCGGCTTCTTCGTGGCTTCTGGGGGCTCTGGCGCCTTCGTTTCCGGATATCCACCGTTTTCCTCCTTCTTCTGGTCCTTCTGATCTTTCGGCTCCTGCTTCGCCTCTGGCTTGGCTTCCTGCTTGGTATCCTTGCTCCCAGCATCGCCGCTGAAGTCCCCGCGTGCCTCGCGCTCGCGCTGCTCTGCGGCCATCCGCTCCTTGCGACGACGGTCACGATCTTTCTGATCGGCCAGGTCAGTCTCCATCTGCTGCACGAACTGCTCTGCGAGCTGAGGAACTTCACCAACAGCTTCTAGCAAAGCGGCACACTTGTTCTTGATGTCCTGCCGGAAGGTCCGCGAAAACGAACAAAGAGAGCCACGGTAGATGTTCGCTGCCCGTGATTCTGATTGCGGTCAAGCGTCCGGCGAGCCGCTCCGAGCTATGAGGCGGTAGTTGAAGTGCATCGCCAAGGTCGACAAGGTGGCTTGGACATCGGCTAAAGCAGCAACCGACAAAATCTCTGCCCCCTGCTTCAGGAACTTCCTCAGCTTCGCTTCCGCCCCGCGGGTGTCGTCATGACCTGGATGCAACATGGAATCGAAAGCATGGGATATGCATTGAAGCCTTGCTGAGTGCACTCAAGTCACGCAACGTCTTGATCTCATTTGCCACGAACCGGTCAACAAACAGGCGCAGAATGTTCAAAGCTGGTTGTGCATTGGACTTCCTTATCTGCACCAACTCGATATCAGCCAGTCAATGCAGAAGTGACTGGCACAAAGGCTGCTATTCGTGAGAACAATGGGTGCCTTACAATTCAAGGCCGGGAATCTGTTGCGCGCACCTATACTGAACGGCAAGCTATGCTGCCGGGCCTAGCTTCATGTGAAAGCAAGCACGCACATACGTACACACTTACGGACATATAAACATATCTACACACATACATACATTTATCAATACAATACAATGCAATACAACATAATATCAGAATTACTCAACTCAATACGATATATTACGATGCGGTACAATACTATACAGTACAGCATGCAATACATAGGACCTACGTACGGACACAAACAGGCACGTAGCCATGTATGTATTTACGTACGTAGGTATGTGTGTATGTCAATGCGGTTATGTGTGTATACACACACCAAATTACACACAAGCACGTGCGCACGCGCACACATAAGCACGTACACGGACACATGTATACACATGCAAATAACAAGCAAGACATCACCTGTGCCAGCATAGACCCCAAACAGAGAAGGAACACCCAAAGCCCAAGCCCGCACCCAATAACCTGAGGCTCGCAAGACCACCACATGAGTCGGGAATGGTAGAGGAACACAGCTTACACATGCCGAAACAGATGGGACGGTTTTAAGTTTTTGGAAACACGAGTCGCCCCGCCTGCGGCGGAAAGAGGGGTCGTGACCACAAAACAGACGGCATTTTATGGCGGGAGCACGATGGCAGACTCTTCAAAAATCGAGATGAAGAGTTCCGATCGAGAAACAGAAGGAGCCTGTGAGCCGACTAGTGTAAGACTGCTAAGATTCGAGCGACTTCGGCTGAAAAGGGGTATATGGGAATGTTCCGCCCCAGAACACCCAGGGTGCACAGGTTATAACGGCCTCAACCGGTTCGGCAAGGAATCGGAGTCGAATGCGTGCGAAGCAAGCGCGGCGCTACTCAGCGCGCGCCTCACACCGACATACACGGACGGTAGCCCAGTCGCGGTACTCTGACTTTACTTTAGAGCCCCAAGCTACACTGCGTGGGGAAAAGGACAAACCAATGAGTGAACCCACAGACACATGTATCTGTATTGTATGTATACCCATACATGGAAACAGAGTCGTATGTTGATGCAAAGATAGATAGCTACCTATGCAGATAGGAAGAAGGATAGGTAGGTAGATAGACTTACATACATAGCTACCGGTGGCTAGATCGATAGATAGGTAGATAGAAAAACGACACTTATATACAGAAACACATATGCATATGTATAGTACAACCAAATAAGCAGAAAAATAAGTCCATAAATGCATATACAACACACGCATACATGCACACATTCCTGCCTACCTACCTACGTACCTACCTGTATATATATATACATATATATTAATATATTAATATTAATATATATATATATATATATATGTATCTGTATTTGTATTGACAGTTCTGAATTTAAAGAGGACGATATATATATATATATATATATATAGAGAGAGAGAGAGAGAGAGAGAGAGAGAGAATACTGCTGCTCAAGCATCAAGGCTTTGTCTCCAACGATTTCATCTCTGGACTTCTTCGCTCGCTCCCAAAGCCTCACCTGGGGTCTGTTACAGAAGCCGGATTTACGGTTTGGCGATTTAGGGGTTTACGGTTTATTTGAGGTTTAGGCCTCTGAGGTTTAGAATCTTGTGTGTTCGGGATTATTTAGTAAGGTTTCATAGGGTCGTAGTGTTTACGGCTGAGGGGTTCAGGGTTCATTTTAGGGTCCTATCGATCTGTCAATCTAGTGTTAAGTATTTTTCGATGAGCACATACAAAATCTTTACCTCCATTTCTTGAGACTAATTTCCTGACCACCCCCGGTTGCAATCTGATAATCTGAGAGGTCCCCTGAGAGCTTGCATGGTACCGTGGCATCAAGTCATGGCCATCCTGAGACGATCCGAGTAACCGTGTTGTCGTGGACATCCATGCGGAGCTTCTTGATCCTTTCGTTGGGTGGTAGCCCTTGGCTCAGACTGCAGCAGTTTCGGCTTCCGGCTCGGCCTGGTGACTAGGACATTTATTCTGCAATATGCGCTGCAGCCTAGGAGTCTAGGATTAACAGGGTCAAGTGGGGGGGGGGTCTGCCTCGGCACCGGTCAATCCAGACCTTTTCAATGGGTCTGGATAGCAGAGGCCCGAGTGCTGTGATTCAAAACGCCGGAGCAATCCAGACCCCGCGGCCAAAACACAGTTCAGACCCCAAGAGATCTCCAACCCCTGGATCCACATACTGCTTGTGTCGGTCTCGATGCGGGAAGTCAGTGGCACTGATGAGTTTCTGTTCCGGCTGTCTCAAACTGTCTGTCTTGACGCATGATATTTTGAGTTTGGGGTCCGTTGGGGGCATCCTGGTGATATTCTTGGCGATGCTTGCGGAATAGCGGCTTCCGGAAACACCAGCATTGAACACCCGCCAACCCGTTCGCCCCATCCCCTAATGGAGACGTCGGGTAGGAGGGTTTCCGCAGGCGTTTGGACGCCGTTCTTTTGCTAAAATAAGGCCACAGACACTCTTCTCCAAAAGAACCGTCTGCTTGGGTTACCGGTGCCGTGCTCAGGCCAGGACACCTTGGTATCCACCATGTTTCTTGTGGAGGGGGGGGCGAAAAAGGTAAACTTCATTTACTGACATCCCCCTATGTGCTCCGCATGCTGTCAGGCACAAGAAATCAAAGATGCGTTTCCTGAACGTTCTTTGGCTTCCCCCTTAATCTGGGTCGTCTGACTGTCGAGCACGTGCACCATCAGGTATGGTACTCCTGAAGTGTGGGTGCCAAGTTCATTTCGAGCCACCGTCTCTGGGGTTTCTGGGTTTCTGGTTTCAGGGTTTTTCGGGCTTCTGGGTTGATGTTTCTGTTTAGGGCTTCTGGGTTTCGAATTTCTGGGTCCAGGGCTTGGGGTTTCTGGGTTAATACAAGGCTTCTGGGCTTAGAGTTTCTATTCAAGGTTTCTGGATGTTTCTGGCTTTCTGGCTTCAGGGGTTTAGGGTTTCTGGGTTCAGGGGTTCTGGGTACAAGGCATGTGGGCTTAACGTTTCTGGATGTTTCTGGGTTTTGTAGCGCCTCTGGGTAGCACTAGCCGTAGCATTAGCGCAGCAGCAGTAACAGTGGCCGTAACAGCAGTAGTAGCAGTAGCCGTCGGCGTAGCAGAAGCAGTGGTCACAGTTGCCGCTGCCGTAGCCGTAGCCGTGCAGCTCGCATAGCCGCAGCCGCAGGTGTAGCAGTAGAAGCAGCAACAGCCGGAACGCGACCCGTTCCCCCCCTCGCTCTTTTCTACTGTTGGGACTTGGGTGAGTCAAAACAGTTTACGACGTTAACCGCAGGCGCTACAGCGTGCCGAGAAGGGCCGCGACCCGTTCCCCCCCTGCCCCCGCCCCAGCTTCACAGACCCGATTCGGTCTCGGATTGACGGTTTACGCTGTAGGATTTGGAAACTATATTCCACAGGGGCTGGGGTTTCGACACGAGGGTTTGGGGTTTAGGATTGTGGTTTTCTCTTTAGGGTTACGACTTCTGCTTAGGTTTAGGATCTAAGGGATTACGGGTTTAGGGTTTCTGCGTTCAAGGGTTTAGGGTTTCTGGATGTTGTTGGCTCTAATGCAGGTTTCAGGCTTCAACGTTTTAGGGTTTCTGGGTTGACGGGTTCTGGCTTCCAACCTTCTGTGTTTAGCGTTTCTGGACGTTTCGAAGCTGAGGGTTTAGGGCTTCTGGGTTTGTGATTTCTGGGGTTTCTGGGTTTAGGGCTTCTGCAAAAAAGGGTTTGTTGATGTTTCTGGTTTGAGGATTTCTGGTTTCAGGGCTTTCGGGCTTGTGGGTTCTGGGCTTCGGGGTTCTGATGCTTAAGTCCAATGAAATATATAGTTCCGTTGGACTTGCTACATTGCTACACCTTCAGCATGTCGCTCCTTGGGACCGGTTTGGTGGCCGGGCGACCCGTTCCCGCCGTCCATGACTGTGGCCGATATGCTCGTCGAGCTTTGTTTGTGCGCAGTTTCTGGGTGGTGGTTTTCTGGCTTCAGGGTTTCTTGGTTTGGGGTTTCTGGGTTTGGGGTTTCTGGCTTCAGGGTTTCTTGGCTGGGGGGCTTATGGCTTTGGTATTTTTGGGTTTGTGGTTTCTGGCTTCAGGGTTTAGTGTCCCTGAACTTTGGGGTTGCTGGGTTTAGGATTCTGGGTTTCACGGTTTCTGGTTTTGGGGTTTCGGGGTTTCTGGCTTCAGGGTTTCTGGGTTTGGGGTTGCTGGGTTTGGGGTTTTCTGGGTTGGGGGTTCTTGGCTTCACAGTTTCTTGTTTTGGGGTTTCTGGGTTCGGGTTCTGGGCTTGGGGTTCTTGGGCTTCAGGGTTTCTTGTTTCGGGGCGTCTGGGTTAAGGATTTCTGGGTTTGGGTTTCTTGGCTCCACGGTTTCTGGTTTGAGGGTTTTCCGGGTTTGGGGTTGCTGGGTTTAGGATTCTGGGGTTCCGGTTTCTGGTCTTGGGTTGCCGGGTTTAGGATTTATGGGTTTGGGGTTTCTGGCCTCAGGGTTTCTGGGTTTGGGGTCGTTGCGTTTGAGGTTTCTGGATGGAACAGATCTTGACATCGCCCCCGATCTGCCACCCGGTTGCTGACGAGGACTTGGCCAGGCCCGTCAAGCAATGCTATTCTGCAACACCCCCACCCCCCACCCCCCGCCGCCACGCGATGTCGGGCGGTGCGTCATTTCGTCTGAATGTTTTGTATGCAAAGTTACTGCGTTTTTTTCGGGGGGTCTGGATTGACCCTGCCGGGGGTCTGGATTGGTCCCAGACCCACTTCAGACCTTCGGCCTATTTGGTCTGCAGACCGGGGTCTGAAGTCCCCTCCCCACTTGAGGGGATGGATTAACAGGGTATCTGTTGCGTGGAGTTATAGTTCTGACTCATTCGTTGCTTAGGGTTACTAGGCCTATTAGGGTTTAAGGTTGCGGACCGTGCGAGGATCCCTCCCCTAGTTGGACATGATTGAGACAGGGCTCGGTTCTTCTCCTCCTCTTCCTCTTTCTCTTTCAACTTTCTAGCCTCCTTCTCAAGGCTTGGGGTTTTGGAGTTCAGGAATCCTGGAGAGGTCGGCTAAACCACTAACCCCTAAACCCTATATAAGTCCACCGAACTCCTAAACCCTTAAACCCTAAACCCCCTAAATCCTCTCTAACCCCTATTTAGAGCCCTTAACCCATAAACCCTGAAGACCTAAAACCGCTGCAAATCTCCAGGGCGAGGCCTCATCCTCAGGGTCCTCCTCGTTGTCCTTCTTTCCATCTTTCCCGTCCTCTGTCACGGGGCCTAGGGGTTGTTTGTTCCTTCTCTCCCTCCTACGTAGACGAGCCCGGATTGCGAGGGTTTAGGGATCTTTTGGTTTTCTGGGGTTAAGGGCTTTCTTCCCCGTCCTCCTCATCCTTCTCCAAGTCTGTGAGGCGTTCCTGGAAAGAGACAGCTCAAGCGGACCAGAGACCCAATCACGGCACGAACCCAAAAGCCTCGACCCAAATGCCTCAAACCCTGAACTCAAAGTCCCAAACTCAGGCCAAGCTCTGCAGATGCCTAAACAAGGGCCTAAACCCAAATCCCAAAATCCTAGAAAACAACACCCTAAATCCCAAATCCGAAAGCACCCCCTCAAGCTCCGCCCTCTGCACCTTCATCTCCTGGAGTTCCTGAAACTTCTCCGGATCACCACCTGCAGTTTGAGGGCCCCCTTTAGACTTGGGGTTAAGGGGTCCCCTCAACCCTAAAACCTATAAACCTTGAGTCCATTCTCGTGTCTCACTCTAGGTTTAGGGTTTAGGGGTTTCGGCGCTCACATTCGGACAATCCAGGCGAGGCATATGGTTCGAGGTCTGTTGAGTGAGACTACACTAATCTGGGAGTGACTGCTAAACTTCACAACAACACAAGAGTGCTTTACGACTTCGAAACATCACGATACTGCTGCGCAGCCTCAAAATCGGATCCGCTCTCCCCTCAAGATCCCGCTCAACATCAGACCCTGGGAGATGCAGGATTCAAGGGGTTTCGAGTTTGTAGGGTTTAGGGTATCCGGTCCGCTTTCGACGCTCACACTCGCAGCAGGCAAGGCTCATCTTGTCTCGTTTAGGGTTAAGGGTTGCGAGCGGGCGAGTGATTCCGGCTTTGAGTTTGGGGATGCGTGGGGCAAGGTCGGCGTCTCTCACTTTCTGATTTGGTTCATGGGACCCTACATGCTACTCAAGGTCGATGCCCGGGTGCGCTAGATATGGGAGCTTCCGAAAATTAGGGGTACCATATTTACAATAAGGATCCTACTACTTGGGGTAGTATATCAGGGTCCCTCATTTTCGGAAACTCCCATATGTTTTCGAAACGACCACCTTTGTCCGGATGAAGCTCTAACGCCATCTTCTTGTACATGGCATTGATGTCCTTGGGCATCGTCTGCACCAAGCAAGAACCCCCAAGAACCGGATAGGACGAAGAAACAATCAAAAAGCTTGCACCCCAAGCCCTAAACCCTTTTTTGCATCAGGACTTGTGCAATCGCCTACCTAAGCCCTAACTCTAAAAGCCTACAGCCCTATAAACCAAGGCTCATTCATGGAGGAGTCTGGGGGCAAGCCCAAGAAAGCCAGTGCGGAGCGTTTCTGCAAGCTCTTCAAGTTGGCATTCACAGAGTCGCGCCACTTCTGTATTCTGCTGACCTAAGGAAGGGCGAAGGAAGCAGCTTTCACATACCTGAACCCGAAATCCCAAACCCTAAATCCTAATTCTTTATCCAGACTATCGGTCTGTGGGTTAGGCTTTTGATCCCCCCCGCCTTCTGGTTATATGAGCAGAAGAGTCACTGCCAAAGCTAAGAAGTCACTCGCGCGCACACACACACACACCCACACCCACACCCACACCCACCCACGCACACCCATGCGGGGTTACGCGGGGTCTCATACATGTCCCTGTCAGGTCCGGTCCCCAAAGTATGCAAGTCTTGCAATCAGGAACCCGGAAAGGGAGGCTGGCTTCGAGAACAGCATGTATTAATATCTTGTGTTTGAGAAGAGAGGAGGCTCTCGCTGCGCCCGGCCTCGTCGTCTGTCTCTTCCATGCTGGAAGTCTGAAACAGGGGTTGCAGCAGGGGTATAGTGTGTTTTGATGGGTGTTTCGGCTTGGGGTTTGGCAATTCGGCTTTTGAGATTCAAGATAGGCGCAGCCAGGGGTACAGCGGCCTGGGTCTTTGACACTCACACTTGCAGGCCTGAATCCCACACCCCAAAGCTTCAAAATTCGAGCAAACTCGTGCCTCCATGTGCTCGTCCAGCTCGTTTGTGCTCATGGTGATCTCGCTGGCTACCTTACATCCCACTAATTTGGGCCTTAGGGGTTTACGGTCCACGGGAATTTCAATCTTACGGCCTTGTCCAGGGATCTTAACCCATCATAATCAGGCTGGGTTGGCAAATCCCAAACCCCTACCCCCCCTAAACCCAAAGTTTTGTTTTGGAGAGTCTCACATTATCCCTAAACCCTAGTCCCCCAAACCCTACTGTAACTTTCTAATTGAAGAGCTAAGCCGCCGAGTCCACATCCAAGGACCCCAATCTCTGGCGAAGCTCTGCCTCCGCAGGTATGAGAGGCGTTAACTTACCTTTGGTTAGTGGGGAATGGAGGAATGGGGCACAATTATAACTGCTACTACCACTACCACTACCACTACTACTACTACTACTACCATTACTACCAGTCTTCCATTCCCTACTAACCAAAGGTAAGTTAATGGATGTTCCGGCGTGGCAGTTCCGAGGGTCTACATGGCAGGTGTTCCGTCACGCGTTAATGGATTGGCGTATGGGGCTCAGGGATTAGAATCGGGTTCTGTTGTATATTGTGCTGTAGTTCGGATTACATGGGAAATTCACTTGGGTTGGACTACACGACGAATCATGCGATGATTGGTATGACATGGGAGTCTATTTGCTAAGCCATCGGCCTCGGTAAATATCCGCATCTGCTGCTTGGAGTTCCTCAGCAGGGAAACGTTCGGCTTTCGCAACTGGGACGGCCGAGCCGGAGCTTTGTGGGATGGCTTGAGGAACCCCAAAGAAGTTCAGCATGGTTATAGGGTTAAGGAGGGCCCATCAAATGACAACTGCTAGGATGGTTGTCAGGTTTATTGAGGACGCTTGAACAAAGGTTTTCGGGTCTCACGCTCTCTCGGACATGCTAGGCGAGGAATTTCAAGCTTGTTTTGCCACGGTTTCGAGTTTAGGATGTTGGTAAGGCGGGGTTTGGGGCCTGGAGAATCCTCAAAGTACGTGCCTGGGGACTCGGACCGTCGGAGAACCGAAGCCTTGTAACATGAAACACAAAATTTGTCCTAAGCAATCCGAAATGCAAAAACTTAACGAACGGAGAACTGCTTGAACCACTACCGAGGCTCATCTCACCGTGAGCTCGGTAGCGGAAAGTGTCCTCCGAGGAAAGCCTGTGCTGTTCTCAAGAAGCACGGTTTGATAGGGTGATATGACGGGAATGGAGGGGAGGGGTGTATTCAGGCTTACGAATAGTCCAGGAACTTGTTCAGCTTGCTAAGGAAAGGAAGCACCACCAAGCCCAAACCCAGCACAGCAGTGCCCGCAGCCAGTGCCGGGTCCGCGTAGTTGATAATCAAACCTCACAGTGGCAAAGCAAACCTTTCCCGTGAGGTCTTCAGGTGGGCAGTCTTCAGGGCAAGAAGAAGCAAGGCAACGATGTGCTCCGCGAATGCCAAACCAGCTTCCTGCAGTCGTGCTGCTCATGGCACTGGATTGCGCCTTGTCCGCTGTCATGGACCCGTCATCAAATAACATCAACTCGCCTGGAAGAACAGGTTTCAGCTCTCCAGTCAACCGAACACCCCTGTCAGATCCTTGAAACTGATCAACTACATTATCCTCGAGGACAGCCCCCTCTCAAAACGATAAACGAAACACACATTAGGAGCATCTTGTAAGCCCTCAGCGCTGTACCAAAACCCTAACTCCAAAATTCGGTTGCAACCCTTCTGCCCACCTCCGGGTTCGGGCTTCCCCTTCTCTGTAGCCACATCTCCTCCTATCTCTGCTTCGTCCATGGCTGCTGCAGGGTCGGTGGCTGTCATGCCGGCTTTGGCGTATCCGAAGCTAAGGCTGTCCTGTGCACAAGAGTGTGTTTCTTCAACGAAGCCAAAAGCCTCAAAGTAATGGTATGCTAAGCTAACCTTCGCAAGTGGATGTTCCAAAAGAGAACTGGCATGAACGCAACTTTCTATCCTGTGGAATCCAGCCGTGCTTGGCAGAAGCTGCGTGCGCGCATGCTGCCAGCTCAGGAAAGCTTCAACAAGCATCTTCTATCTTCTTTCCCATGCTCGCGCCGGATTTATGAACTGCCCTTTGCTTGGCCGTCATGTTGAAAGACAGTCTCAACCGTAATAGTTTAGCAACTGGAGAGCAGCATGAAAAGTCATTGGCCATGAACTTGCAAACTTGGACAAAACTTGCGTGGGGACAACAGAGAAACGTTCTCCGGTCGGAGAAATTGCTAAAACGATAGCAGGGTGCACCCAGACCCTGCATGTTGCCTCGCTGAGTGCCCTCCGACTGACAAGGTGTGCTGAAACGAAGGTACGAGAAAGACATATGACAGGACCTCATACGTCATACTTTCACACATGAGCCACTGCCCCTTTTAGCTACGATATGTGGTCGATGCCCATGAAAGAACCCCGGCCCGACCTGTTTGAATATGTTTCCTGATGGGACCAACTGCCGTGGAACTGCAATTAGCATGGACGGATCAGATAGGGGCCTAAACAATTAGTTACCATAATACTTTCCTGGGGGTTCCTTATTATATAATTAGAATATAATGGGCCCCTAAACCCTATTCTGATTAATAAGGCTCCAGCCTATATTATACTTCATAAGTGTGACCCTCCAGGGTGAACAGCAACTTTTAATCGAATCTGTCACAGCCCGAGACCTTTGCGAGCATGGGATGCTTTCCCTGCGGTTTTGGTTTAGGGCCTGCGCTCTCGCAACTCGGACACAGCCAGACGTTCTTGGTTCGCAGCAACGTACCAGGTCGGCTTTCTCGAGTCAGCTTCACTAGGGTTTAGGGCTCGAAACTAACCTCGGGGGTTTCGCAAAAAATGCTTGCAGAGCAAAGCCATTCGAGCTTGATTCGTCCTCATGTCGCCCAAATCACCTGCAAAAATCGCGCAGGCGTCTTGAGGCATGAATAACATTTTGGGCTTCCTTATTCTGAGTCTAGTAAAGTGGGTCCCAACACAAATTCCAATTTTTACGGCCCCTATATCAATTCACTCGACATAACTGTTTCGATCCCGAACCAGCTTTGTATTTCCGTTGCTTACCGCTCGGCGCCTTTTGCAGATCACAAGTCCAACGGGCTAAAGGCAAAATGAGAAAAGCCTCACCCGGTTCAGGTCGCTGGGATCATCGGAAGTACGGAGTAGGGGTTAGGGTTTAGGGGTTTAGGGTTTAGGGGGGGTTTCAGGTCGCTGGGCAGTTTTGCTCACCCTGCTAGCCTAGAGGGATTAGGGGTACAGCCCCACTTGCAACCTGACTCCCGAGTCTCCCCGACTTAACAACGAAGGCCCCAAATTAATTGTGTACAGGTTATCATATGGATAGTTGTCAAAATTATGGATCCTCTTTGGGTACCCGAAATATTAGGTGCCGCATAAAAAACTAGTGACTTCAAAAAGGGCCATAATTTTGACAACCACCCATACATCGATCCCTAAACTACCCTAGTATAGTACCCTAAATAATAGGATCCCTATTATAAGGACCCCCAAATAAGGTACCCCCAAGATGCGCCCATATAGGCTCCTAGAGATGGTCCCCTTCCAGATCAGGAGCTCCGGCTGATCGGACAGCTTCGTAGAGTGTCGGATCGGCGACCAAGTCACGGAATAGGAGTTTAAGCTCTAGATGGGAGTTTCTCGAAAATTAGGGGTACTTTATCCCTATTTGGGGGTCCTTATAATAAGGATCCTACTATTTAGGGTATTGTTATATTAGGGTCCACTATTTTCGGAAACTCCCATCTCCACCACAGCAACAAATCTTAGGCCCCGGCTGCCGTGCCTACGGCGCCCTTTGTATCCATGGCCGGGCGCACGATTCCTAGATCCACATGTAGGTTGACATTATCCTCGGCTTCGTTTCCTTGTCCATGCTTCCCAAATGTCAAACGCGGCAGGATCTGCCGACGACAGGTATCAGGTTGGATGGAGTCTACGTGGCGACATGATGGCTTCTTCTGTCTCTCAAAGCCAGGTCCTTGTAAGGCTGAAGCGGTGTCGCCAGCACTTCGGCTTTTGTCGCCTTTGCACCGCACGCTGCGGCCTTTTTCCATCAAGAAAAGGCATCTTCGGCCGCGCAGGTTTCCAAGAGCCAGTCTTGTCCTGGCAGGTCGCAAGCAAGGCCAAGCAGCCCTCGGCACGATCTGCCAGCAAGTCCGTGCCAGGTAGACGGAAGCCGCCCTTCAGGTGAACAAGGCCAGGGGGAGCACCGCCCAAGCCGCCTTGCCGCTCGATTTGCTTTGGGAGGTCTCGTAGGTCTCACACTGGGGCCCATGCCTTTGGCACCTGCTCGGAAGAGAGATGCCAGACACAGAGACCTTGGTATCAAAAGGCTGGCGGGCACTCTCTAGTAGCTCGAGATGTGCAGTTAAGGCGCACTGCCGGGACTTCCGGCAGAACATGCGGACTGGCCTCGGTTTCGGGGGAGCGACCTTCTGCCTGCTTGCTCTCCACGTGTCATGCCCCAAAGGTCCCAGCTGCTCTCGACAATTCTTAATCCCGCCTCTTCTCTTCATGGCCCAGGAAAACTGGCACTCTGTGGGCCAGCTGGGAGGACAATGAGAGGGCATCAGATGTCCTTCATCCTTACGTCGCTCAGGCCGACAGGCTAAAGCTCTGCTCTGCAGTGCACCAGCCCTCGACCTTGAAACGACTCCGTCGAGGCACGAGCCTACTCCGTAAGGCAACGGAACATTGGCCAAGCCACGGATTGGGCGGTTCTTGCCACCTTCCTATGACTGGAGCTGCACGGCTGGGGTTTGGGGCGTAGGATCCAGGTTTGTACTGAACGAGGCCCGCTGACAAGTAAGCGGCAGCAACCAGACCATTTCTGGAAGCTCCATCAGGAGATCAGGAAATGGCCCGTGGCTTGAACATTATAACATAAACTCTAAGAGAACAGTATGGCCTATGGAGGGCAATTCTCGCCGTCATTCATTCCAAACTGCACGGCGCTTGCCTGCAGGCCTGCAGGTCGACTAAGACTTAGAAGGCCATGTCTCGAGGGCCCCTCAGGCACCGGCGTTACGACGAATCGACCCGTCCATTATGGCCAGATATTTAGGCTTCCGCGTCTCCAATTGGGAGCCCATATCGTGCGCGATGTTGCCAAAACCCGGCACTCCAAGTCGACTTAGGATGCCTCGTACAGTTCCTCCTACTCATGGATGGCCAAAATAGTATGGATTATACATCGACAGGCCAGTTCAGTGCTGGGATGCTTTAATGGTCTGCAATTCAACGTGCAAGCTGCCTCTCGACAAACTCGTTTAGAAGAGCTGGACAGCTGACTGATCTTCCTCCGGAAAATCTGATGCGAATTCTAAAGCAAAGCAGAGCGAAGAATATGGGGCGCAGCGCTAGCGCCGGGAAACTGCGCCAGAAGTATCTGCCGCCTCCAGCAAGAGAGCAGAGGTCGGGATCGATGCGGAAACTGCACACCGAAGATGCCTCAGGTCGTTCCGGATGCTCCGGACCGTGCACTGGACCTGATCTTTCGTCGACGATTCTGCTTGGTAAACAAGAAGTGCAACCTGTAAGGCTCAGGCAGCCCTGGCAAGATGCCTCTGAGTTTTGCGGAGTTACGTTGTCTTATGGCCTCGGCTAGGTTGCAGGAAACGCTGAAAGCTGGATGAGTAACAGCCAGCAACATTCTCGGAATTCGCGCACAATGAAGATACTTTCAATAGTATATGTAACTACGTTTAGCGCTGCTGCTTGTAAGCGCAACCCGTTGAACAGCAATCGTCATGACATGTCATGAGCCACAACCGTCGTCATCATCACCATCATCATCGACATGCAAATATTCAGGCATTGCAACAAGCAGTTAATGATTGGAACGGTAACAGTATTCATGGCTTCAAAACGCACACCAAGACAAGAACATGTTTGGTCCCAACAATAGCACTACTGTCAACACGCACACCAACAACAATCACAACCAAACACCCTCTTTCTTTCGCAAGGGTTGTGCTCTCTCTCTCTCTCTCTCTCTGTCTCTCTCTCTCTCTCTCTCTCTCTCTCTCTCTCTCTCTCTCTCTCTCTCTCTCTCTCTCTCTCTCTCTCTCTCTCTCTCTCTCTCTCTTTCTTATCTGTAGGTCTAATTACATCTGAATTTAAATTGACTGCAAGTGTGTGTGTATATATATATATACATACATACTATGCATGGCAACGCAGGAAGCAAATCCATTCAAGAGGAACATAACGCTTTGCATGAAATTGTATCTCCAGTCCTTCGTTGTATCAAAGACCAGAAAAGGATACTTCCGCACAAACATACCAAAACCACGAAAAGCAAACAGCAACAACAACAACAAGAGCTTGTTTGGTCTTGCTTCTTGTGGTTTTAGTTGTTCTAACTTTTTTGTGCTAGGCACCTGTTCCGTGGTTGTGCTGCTGGTTTCCCGTGCATTATTATAGCCACATCACTGTACGGCTTTACACGCATCTGCCGATGCCTGCACATTGTGGATCTAGATTTGTAGATGATGGACTTTCATTTTTGGCTGCCGCGTGGCTTTCATTGTTTGTGTCAACACCGACAGCATGCATTCGTTTTGGCTGCTACTGAAATATATATGCTACCGCAACCAAAGGCCATATGCATGCACATAATCCAGGGACGTGTCCTGTCTTGCTGTTTTGTCATTGGTGTTGCTAATGTGGCTGCTGGTGTATTACAGGCATGTGATGGATAAGGCCAATCCGGCAAATAAGCAATACTCACACGATGCTCTAAACAAAAAACTGAATACACGCACACAGCCACCGTCTGGATCTTAGTTTTTCTTTGTTTGCGACTTGATATGCTTTTCCGACTGCATATCTTCGAGTCCTACGGACACTTCTGCGGGTCGATCGGGGGGGAGGGAGGGTGGGTGGGTGGGTCGGCCTATTTGTTTGTATATGTATATGTATATGCATATGCATATGTATATGTATATATGTATATATGTATATATGTATATATGTATATATGTATATGTATATGTATATGTATGTGTATGTGTATGTGTATGTATATATGTACATCTATATATGTATATATACACATAAGTATGTGTATATATATATATATAGATATATATATGTACGTATATGTATACGTATGTATGTATGCATGTATGTGTTTGTATATATATATATGTGTGTGTGTGTACTTGCAAATACACATTTTGCTGCAGCTATATGACTGTATCTGTGTATATAAATGTGTAAGTATATCCACGCAGAAACAAACGTAGCTATAAGTAACAACTGCAATCACCTGAGCTTGCCACTGCCAAGCGCCCCAGAGGCATGGAGCGAGTTGTAGTCTCAGGCACGGAGCACAGGGCACTTCAAGGTAAGCGGAAGGGTTTGGGAGTTTCTCGGGGGCGGCGCTGGACTGTTTGGGAGCCTTACCGGAGGCTTGGGTAGGCGTAGCTTCCCCAATCCGCCGGATCATGCCAAAAGGCCTACATCGTACCGTCATAGTGCAGCTGTGCTGCGACTCTGCCAGGTGCTATATAAGCTACTGTGCTGGAGGTGGTAGTTGTCGTCGTCGTGGTGGTGGTGGTAACTACTACTGCTATTCCTACTGTTTCTACTGCTTCTACTGCTACTGCTACTGCTACCGCTACTACTACGACTGCTGCTGCTACTACTGCTACCACTACTACCCTGCTGCTACCAAGGCGTAGTTTCGGTACCCATACCAGTATTACTTCATTACTTGTATTAGCCGCAGCGGAAGCAGCAGCAGGCACCTTACCAAGGACTTCCAGATCGAATGATATGGAGACCAACGAAGCATTCGAAGTTACCGTCGTCCCCACAGCTCGAGTGCTGGCAGCCGAACCGTTTTATTTCAGCCACTGCTACTAATGCAGTGGCCACGACGAGGACGACAATTGCTGAATTGAATGAGAGCGTGACAGTCTCTGCTCCTCCTTCTCGTGATCGCAATCGGCGAGAAGTGGGTCTGTCCGAGCTGATTGAACCTAAGACATGGGAAAGCTCCGAAACTCCAAATGCATTTCTGTACATGTTTTCTGTATATGCACGAGTTGTACACATGCACACACAACGTATTTGTATGCATATCGCGTCGTATGGTTGTGTATGTTTGTGCATGTATGTATGTATGTATGTACTGTAGGTATGTATGTATTACTGCCATATCCTATAATGTTTTTAGCACTCGCACTCGAGCAACTCAAGCGAGGCTTGGGAAGCCAGCTAGCAATGTAATGTAGTGTAAGGTAATGTCACGTAACGTAATGCATTGTACTACATAGAGTAATATAACGTAGTGTAAGTAATTACGTATGTAAGTTGAATATGCGTGCATGGATATATGTGTGCCTGCAAGTATGTATGTCCCTAGGTCAAACCTATACAATGTATATACGTATGAGTATGTGTGGTATGTATGCACCTATGTGGTTATGTGTTTATGCATATTTGTACATGCATATATATATATATATACACCCATGTGTGTGTAGCTTTTACTTGGCATATTCTAACGTACCCCCGTTTATATGCATATAACATGCCATGACCAGGCATCGAGACATGGTCTTATGTAACATACGTCCAAAGACAAACTTGCAAAAGACGTGTATAACTTACGATCCAAACTCCATGCCTGAACACCTCCGAAAGCACGGCTGCAATTCCCCTGCCGCAAATGGCAGCAGGACTCCCAACCCTAAACTCGAAGCTCCAAACCCACTAAGCTAAACCCACTGAAACCAAAGTTCCTACCATTTTTAGACAGACGAACTCGCCCGAGTCGTGCCAGGGCATCTAGGAGGCGTTCGAAGGGGTTTGCCATCGTGAGAACTCCCTGCTTGGAGTTCTGGCGCTCGGTCTCCCCTGCCGTTCGGTGCTTCTGAAAGCTTCTGAAACAGTCACGATGTGATATGTGATGCAGGGGAGACAACGTGGCTGCTTCTGGCACAGAAGAAGCGATGCAAACTAGGGCATCAGAGACGTCTGAATGAACGAGCTCATGCTGCACCTCGAGATGGCATATCTGGCTCTGAGATCTGCCTCCGTGGTCGCCGCGACTTCGGCGTCGGGTTTTTGGGTGTATTGCGGTATCAGTTTTATAACTATATAGGATAAGGAACCCTAGAGGAGAATACTGGTAAGTGTTTGAACGTTTTCGGCTCACAATCTGCGCAGCGGACCACTTGCTTCGATGGGCGTCGAACGTGGACAACACGCACAGCATACCCCGCTGCCATCTTGATTTCTTGATCCTATCTCTTCAGCAAGATGCTGCCGCGCTTGCCAATGCTGTCAGGTTGCCAAAATAAGCTTCCCGACTTCTCCTTGGCCGCTTGGCAACTCCCGTCATCAACGAGGCAGGCACAGGCTTGCAAGGCCGCTCGTGGCATCTTCTGGAAGTCATATGTTTAGCCCATTCGCTTTTAGGCACAAACTGCCGTGACCTCTACAGCATCCGCCTGCGTGGTAGAGATCGAGCTTTGCTGAAAGGGCAAAGCTACAAAAACCGCACGAACACTTTCGTCAGATCGGCAAATGCTGCTGCGGGTCGGATCCCGGAGACACAGGTGAAAGAGGTGAAAGGGGCGAGAGCTCGTCGTCGTCGAAGTCCTGGCAATCGGATGCAAAGGAAGCCCCCTGAACACAGCAGCTGGACAAAACACACACACACACACACACACACATATATATATATATACACGCACGCACACACCAGAAACTTGCTGCCGCAAAAGCATGCCTCACAACTGTCACACTTCCGGTGAAGTTTGGAAGCAGAGAGCACTTCAATCTGAGCCAGATTTCACAATCTTCGCAGGTATAGGGTTTAGGGCTGGGGGCTTAGAAACCCCACACCCTCAAAAGTTTCGGGGTTTAGGAGCCGAGCCACAAATGCGAACTTCTCGTAGAGGGGAGAGTCACAGTCCGTGTCCTGTGCAAGCGTTTAGACTTTAGGGCTTAGGATGGCTGAGGGTTTAAGATTCAGGGCTGAGGAGATTTATAGGGTTTCGGATTTAAGGTATAGGATGCAAGCGTAAGGCAAAGAAACATGTCGCCACAGAATGTCCGGGCATACAAAGTTCTATGAGAAGTTGGTGGTGAGTGGGTTGAAAGCTTCAAACAACACTTCCCTAATGCCCACACCAGGCAGACTGTAAACCCAAAGCCAAGCGCCACAAAAAACGGAAGTCTTGACTAGAAGCCCTAAACAGATCGCTGAAAGCATCTCGGTCGAATCAACCGTAAACAAACAGCCACAAGCCCCCAGAAGCCCCTCAGTCCCAAACCAAAACCAACCATCAAAACACACAAAAAAAGCATGTGCCCCCAAAAGCCCTTTAACAAAAAAACAACAATCAAAAAACAAAAAAAAAAACATGTGCCCCCAACAGCCCTTTAACAAAAAAAAACAACCATCAAAACACAAAGACAAAAGAAGGCAAGCATGCGCCGCCAACCTGTAGCTGCAGGGACTTACCGAGCAAGGCATCCTCCAGCTTGGGGACCGGGCCCCTCGGATGCGAAAGGCCCCACATGGGGAGAAGCTGATGGCCAAGGGACCAGGGCGTGCACTGTTTTATGTGCAGGTATAGCTTGATGTAGCAGCATGAACACGTAAGGTGTGTGTGTGTGTGTGTGTTTGCTTGCTTCACTATGAACTTTGATGTAGATTTTTGTGCCTGCATTCTCTCTCTTGGGCGTTTTTCAAGGCAACCAGATGCAAGTAGATTGTGTGCATGTGTCAGAATGAAGTGTAGATTTGCTGGCTTACTGGTTCGTTTGCTGTATTCATGTTCCTTGATTCGGTCGTGCATAGATTCACTGCTTAACTCCCTCCATTCCAATCATTCCATCCAACCATATGTGCATACATGTAAAGACATACACATGCATAGAAACAAAAACTTGCATCTCTGTGACATCTGTAAGCAGGTAAGTATGTCTATATATATATATATATACATAAATGTATGTGCGTTGTATGCCTTTCTGTCTGTCTGTCTGTCTTTCTCTGTCTCCGTACATATATGACGACTCGAGCTTGGAAAAGAGAGGTCCTGAACCACCCCTGGTGTGCAATCATGTGCAATCTATGCATACACATATACGCCTATATACATATGTAGAATATATACCTACGTGTTTTCTCTATAGATGTATCTATTTATGTATATACACATGTATATATATATATATATATATAAATGTATATATTCATATGTGTGTGTGTAGCTCTGTACATACAAATATAAATAAATAAATATATGTATATATATATATATGTATGTATGTATGTATGTATGTACATACATATGTACATATGTGTATGTATTTAATTGCATATATATATATAATATAATATAACATAATATAATATAATATAATATATAATAATATAATATAATAAATATAATATATATATATATATATATATATATACATATATAATACCTGCTAGGATCCTGATTATGAGAGTGATGCCTGGCTTGGCGGACCCCAAATGGAACCCGAAGGCACAACGACCCAAACGCGGGCAGTGCGGCCCAGAAGAGCTGGCTACTGTCGGCTTCTCCGGATCATCCCCGGCCCTGGGGAGATTCCGTGGCTGGGTTCTTAAGGAACTTAATTCAAGTTACCTATAGTAAGGCAACCAGAACTTAACTCAATATACCCATAGTAAGGAAACCAGATTATTTACTAAAGGAACTTAATTCAAGATACCCACAGTAAGGAAACCAGATTATTTACTAAGGGAACTTGATTCAAGATACCCATAATAAGGAAACCATATATTGTTGACTATAGATCCCTATAATGGAACCTGGCAGGTGGTTTCAGGGCTTCGACTCACTCGCTGAAGGCTTGTGCGATGGGTTTTTGTAGCTTTGCACTTCGCAAGGACGAGCCCGCACGGCAGGGTTATCGGTCGGAAGGCTTCCACCACCTTCGGGAGGGAAGGAGAGAGAGCGAAGTAGGGGAGTTCGGGTTGAGGATCTGAGGGTTTTGGTGCTGACAGCTGCAGGTCTCACAGGTCAGATGAAGCGAACACTACATGAACTGACACGACACCAATTTTGTTCTGCAGCGCTGTGCCAGACGAGCGGCATCCCGGCGCGAAAGTAGGAAACTGAAACCGATTTCAAACAAACAACCCTTTTTGCAGCTGGGCTTTGCAACTGGGCTCTCATTGTTTTGAACTGCTCAGACCAACCGTACGTCATGCACCAAAAAACCGTCACTCAATCCCTACACTAACCCAGATCCTAAACCCGAAACAACTTTAAGGCTCCGGCCGTAACCTGCTCAGCTTGCCGAGCTTCCCTGATGGCTGAATCGCTCCTGGTTCTTGGTGGCTCTGGACAGAAAGCAGGGTTTAGAGTTCTTTCCCCACCAGAACAGCTGGCAGGCTTCAGTCAGGGTTGAGGGCTTTATGACACTCGTGGTACACTTCCTCTTCCTGAATTGTGAGTGTCATCTCTCGGTACATTTGGGCTTCGTAGTTACCCAGCACTCACTGATCTGGAGATTTTACCGAGTTAGCACACCTCGCCTCGAGCCCGCAGCTGCAACTGCGCGCGGATCATCTGCACCTTCGCCCTCCGCCTCGCCTGCCACAAAGACTTCAGAGCGTGGACTTTTCGGCATGAAACAAAATCCAGAACTGAGAAATTTCATCACGAAATGACGTGCACTTCACTAGTGATGAACTTTATGAAACTCAAAAGTTCCTTCACGTTCTCCCCAAGACTCCTCGTCTTGCCGTGGCCGGAGGCTCGGCGGGAATGGCATGGACTGCGCGCCCTCTGCGCTAGCGGTGGCCCCATGGAGGCGTGGGACTTGCTGAGGTAAGTCCAGGCTCGAACTCGAGTGATCCTGGAAGTTTGGCTTGTGGGAGTTTGGGAGTCTGGGGCAGAATCAAGCTGAGCTTAAGGCCTTCGAACTTTGGGAAACACTGAACCCAAGCCTGCTCTAAAGCGCCCAAACCTATAAACATCTATAAACCCTAACTCCCAACTATTGGGGGCCTCCTCCTCATCTCTGGGAGACTTCTGCAGCGCGCGCGAGGACCGGACCGGAGCGACTGCCTTGTTCAGAGGGTTGATGTGTTTTTGTTTGAGGGTTTCTTGTACTGGTTTATAACGGATGTAAGGGATTTACAAGGGTTTTATAAGGTTCGATGCCTTTTTGTTTGAGGGCTTCTTGTATTGGTTTATAGCGGATGTAAGGGATTTATATAAAAGGATTTTATGAGGTTCGGTTGAACCGCGCTTACGCCGTAGACAGCGTGTTTAATTGACCAGGTTCCAGTATGTGCAAAGATATGTGTCACTAAGGAGCTATACCCGCAGTGTAAAGTGGCAAAGTGGTGGCTGAAAGCTCAACGCCAGGGTAGTAGCATGTCCAAAGCTGCAAACAGAGTTGAAGGTTTATCCCGGCCAGTCAAGCGATTGGAGGCTCACTTTCGTGTCTCGAGCTAGACGTGTCTCCCGATTTCCTCGAGTCAGGGTCAGTCAGGGGCTAGTTGTATGCATACCTCCTCAGGGACTACGGAGGCTTTGTAGGCGAGCATGCTTTCTCTACATCGGGGATTGCCAGTACATAGGTACATCTCCAACTCGACCTTCAGCTACTGCAGCTTCCAAAGCCCCAAGACCTAAATTTTAAATTCTGAACCCTGAGGGGCCCGAACTTGGCCGCGAACCCCAACCGCTCAGCTGGCCTCATCATCAGCTTCGGCAGCTTTTTGCGATGCCCGCTCAGCGCGCATGCTGGCGATGGCCTGGTTCTCGGCGGCTTATCACTATCAAGAAGCATGACATTGATGACGACTGATGGCATCTGATGACTTGGAGATCAAATATGGGAAGACGGTGGTATCTAAGAACTACGACTCATCTCTAAATCTTGAACCTTCAACAAAGCTGGAAGCCCTCTTTTACCGAACTCTTTCAGAGCCTTCAGCTTCTTCTTGGTCCGCTGGACGGCGCCGAGTCGCTTCCATCGGTCGCCATCCTGCTGTGAAGCTGACATATGTTGTACCACTTTCTGACAGTATTTTGAAGTATCTTGCACCACTAGATATTATATTCTACTCTATATTATTCTATTATACCATATGATAGTACAGGAGGCTTGCAGGGCTTCGAAGGTCCAGCACAGGGAACAAGGTGTGATCAAATAGACAGTGTGAGGTATATAGGCTTGGGCTTGAGGGCTTATAAACCCTAAACCCTTTCATCGAGTCTCGGGCTGCGGCCGGACGTCTGAAGAAGCATCATACTGACGCAGGAGGCTGAAGAAGCGGAAAGAAGGGAATCCGACAGAGACAACACGTAAACCCCTTGGGGCCTACGGCTTTCAGGGCTTCCGGGGCTTAGCCTAGATGGCGCCTGCTTCTGCATCCGATTCCCCTCATTTTGCAAGTGGAGGAGGTCCTGCCAAGGGCACCAGTCATCCCTTGATTGGGGGTCCCTATCTTAAGGATCCTAGAATCCAACGTGCTGTTTTACTCTGGGTCTGTGTTGCGGTTGCTCATGTATGTGTAGTCCGCAGGGTAGCCACTCCCACGGTCAATCCTCCAACTCTATTCACGGCAACCCGAGCAGATCAGACACTTCGGATAACATAAACGAAGGCACGTACGCGCCAACACTCGGGTATGTCCAATTGTTTTACAGATAGTAGTTATCTGTTCTTGCCTGCTGCCGATTGTATAGCAACAGCTACATGGGAGTTTCCGAGAATTAGGGGTACTGTATTTTGGGGGTGCCTATAATGAGGATCCTACTATTTAGGGCACTATATTTGGGTCCCCTAACTTCGGAAACTCCCACATCTCTGCGACATGCTCTCCGGCAGCCCGCTAGTCCCAAGGAGTTCAAGGGGGAGTGCAACGACACCCGAAGCTGGGTAATTAGATGTTCCCAAAGCTACCGACAAAACAACATAAGTGTCCTAGAACAAAGGCTTAGTGCATCAGCGAAAACCTGTGCCCTGGAGTGACTACTTGCTGTATGCCGACTTGCTTTCCGCACATATAGAATATAGAATATAGAGCAACTTGTACTGAAGCAGCGACGCGGCTACGATGTCCTTAGGCCTTTGACGTGGATTTGTGTCAGCGACCCTAAAATGCCGTCATTTCCTGCTGGCCTTGTCTGGCCGTCTCTTTGACTGGAGCTGTTTGGGCAGGGCCCCGGGCTTTTCTGAACTTATGGCCTGCTCGTCTTCTTTGGGCTGCAGCTGAGTTAGTAGTCGATTGCCGCTGCGAGCTCGCTATGGTCAAGTTGCACTCACCGGTTGATGCCATGCCCGCCCCGTAGCATTAAAGCTCCGAAGATCTCTCACCGGGACCTTAGACACAGGTCGACCGTCCTCGGGATAGTTCTGCAGCGCCGCGTGAAAGTTCTTGGATCAGGAAAGGAGGCGGGGAGCTTGATGGAGCATTATGGTGTGTTGTAACATTGTAAAGTGGAGTCGAGAAGGGCCTTTGTTGTGGGATTTCAGCAGGGTTTTAAGTCAAAGCCTCAGAAGGTCGTGTAGGGAGACGGTTTTGCTTTGGCTGTCAGATTGAGCATCGTGTGATTGGGATTGGATTGGATGCGGACCGTCGTGCCTTCATTAAGGCGCGTCCCAAAAATCATGCAATGAATTCGCAGACCTGTGTGCACTCGAGTATCTCAGGACCCGGAGCAGAAATCAGGCGTAAACGAGGGTTTGAGGGCAAGGAGATTGAACCGACCAACCCCACAGGGCGAGAAAAGTCGTCTCCTTGCCCCGTCACGTTTTCAAAACTGGGCAAGTGGCATAGGGAATAAACTGTGCAATCCCCATGCACTACAACTTCGGGCGCTCGGTAAAAGGCGCCACGAGCAAGTGGCTCACCTGCGGCCCTACGGCTACTTCAAGCAAACGAGGGCGAGAAACATGCCTTCCACATACAAAGGTGTGAAACCCATAAACTCCATGAACTACCACGAAAGTTGACAGGGCCATGCATGCAACTCAACAGGTCTTTCCACTTCGAAAGTGTGCTGCCGTCCTCCCACTGCGCGCCTGCCAAGATGAGCCGTCGCAGATCTGGAAACAGAAAGGCATCAACGCGATCCTGGCCTAATCCTTTCCAAGCTTCAAGCCCAACTGAGAAGACCCACCGGGATCAAACAGCCTTTCCTTCACGTTATGGGCGCTAGGAGTAACTCCACAGCCAGTGCATTTCATGCCCAAGGCCATGGCATCCATGTTTGGAGTGCACTCGGAGCCGGCACATGGCAAATGCAAGCTCCCATCTCGAGTCCCGGTCTGGTCCACGCCCACATCCGCAGCATCTCTGTCAAGAGCCTCCTCGCAGCCAGCACGGATCATGCCCGAACCAGCCACAGGCGTGCTAGAAGCATCTCCACCACTGTGGCCCTTCATGACGAAAACGCCCACGAAGTGATTTGCTGCAGCATGTAGGTCCCGGATCTCTTGCACGGGCATGAACGGCTCAAGCCGGGATGCAACCACGTCCCGCTTTGAAACAACCTCGTAGTCTGCTTCTGGATGCCTCCCGATCGGCTCCCAAATGCCGCGCCATCTCCCACAAAGCCCAACTTCGTCAGGCAGGTCGGTAAATAAATGCCGCCCACATCTACACCCTGCCGGAGTACCAACCAACTTCTCAGCAGCCTCTGCAGCAAAGTACTTGATGATGCCTTTCTTGTGAGTCAAGTCCACACCAATGCACGATTGCAGCGTCAAGCGTAGGCCACGTAACGAAACTGGGCCCAAACCTGCGAGCCGGGGAACCATTGAAAACAGATCGCCCTTGAGAGTTTCATCGAGTGACTCATAGACTTCAGTGGTATCTCGAGTGACCAATTCCTGGTTCAACTTGTCTTCATGCTGCTTGCCCTTGGAATCTGGGCGCTGCTGATCTGGAGTGCCGCACCCAACGGACTTCCTGTTCAGCACCTCCGTGTCCCAAAGAAGCGTACCGTTTTCCATCAGGCAAGCGAACGGTACTGGGGTCATCGGCTATGCAGCCGGGCGCTGCTCGATCCGAGACCCTGAGCATCGTGTGAGGTATTTATTTCAGGCTTTCACCAGGCGCAGGCTAGCATCCCTTTCAAGACTTTAAGAATCCAAAAGCCCAAACGCTTAGTGTGCCTGGAACCCGAAGCCCTAAACCCCGTAGCCTTCAACCCAAGCTTATACACTATGGCCTCGACCCTAACCCCTGTTTGGAAAAGCTATTCTTACAGCATAGATCCCCAAACAGTGGCAGAGTATGTAGCACGACAAAGAGCATGACTACCACGGCCACAAACAAGACGACCACGACGATCACAATCAGACACCACCGGAATACCAGCCAAGACCACCAGAAAAGGACACCACCAGAACCACCGCCCCCGCGATGGTTCCCCCATGTACTTGCAGGATTCAGCGTCCTAGGAACACCGTTTACCACGATGCTTCCCCGCCTTGTCTGGCCGGCCCTGAGCATTTTCAGATTCAACGTCAAACCATGCAAAACCCTAGCTAAAATAGTATATTTTGATACTACTACGATGATTAAGACTTTTACTTTAAAAGAGGCCGGGCTGCGATCCGGGAGATGACCCGGCATTGGCATGGCCCGGCCGCCCGGATCTCCACGGGAAGCTGAGGATTCTCGAACATGGCCTCGGCTCAGAACATCTCTAATATAGGGGCACTAATAACTAGAATAGGGTTTTGGGGCCCATTATACTATAGTTATAATAAGGAACCCCAAAAACAGTATCAGTAATTATTAAAGCCCCTATATTACAAGCACCAGCAGCAATTGCCAGGAAATGATTCAGAAAATGTAAGAGTCTTACGCAGCGTTTGCATGCTTGGCTGCGCAGGCATTGAGCCCTCCTTCCTGAGACACAGGAAGAAACGGAATTCGAGTCGATCCTAACGTGACTTCAAGAATCAGGACACTTCAGGATCTCTCCCAAGAGTTGACGATCCCGGAACCCTAAAGCCTAAACACGTAATGTCCTGTAACGTACATGACAACATCACAAGGGCCGGTGCGATCCTCCCAAGTAGGGAGCCTCGCGAACCTAAACTCCCGAAGCTCAAAGCCGAAAGCGGAAACCCTAGAATCCCTCTGAAGTTAAGGTTCTTCTTGCTTTTATGGGTTTCTTCACACCAGAACCCAGCCCTACAAGGAGCCCCAAAAAATCAGCTCTCCTCAAGAAAACCAAGACCTCCTTGTCGGGTATCAAAGGTAAACCTTTTTATTTATATAGGGATTATATAGGAACTATACTACCCAAAAAAGGTTAAAGGTTACCTACTCTACTACTAGGAAGACTAAAAACGTCTTGCAGGAAAAGCTCGGCGAGACCCAAGATGGACCCGCTAGGAATCCGCTCGACTCGAACGTTGTCAACCTTGGCACTCAGAAGATTTTGGGGGGAGCGTGGGGCTTTCGGGATTCTACCTGGACCCCAAAACAATGTAGAATAATTGCCTTTTATGGGTATTGGGGGCCATTATTTTACCTACTTGGGGAGGTTTAGGTAGGGTTTGGGGATTGATGGATTCTGGTTTCGGGCGCTCGTTGAGGTCCTGTTTGAAGGTCACACTGTCGAGTTCATCTTCTCAGCGCCCCAGCTAACAACAAGCAAAGTAAAACCCGACAAGCACGCAGAACTCGACCCATGCTGCGCAGCCACACTCGGACAATTCAGTCGAGGCTGTTCCGGTCGGAGGGTTACCAGCCAGTTATCTTTAGATGTGGCAATGTGGAAGTTTCCGAAATTGGGGGTACCTTACTTTGGGGCCCTCTTAATAAGGACCCTACTATTGAGGGTACTGTATTAGGATCCCCTTTTTTCGGAAAGCCCCATGTTCAGTCCAATGTGACTGCCTGGTAGCCCGACAAAGCAGACTCGCCTGGGTAGTCTGGGGTTAGGATTTCGGAGTTTCCGAAAAAAGGGGGACCTAGGATCCTCATTATAAGGACCCCAAACTAGGGTACCCCAATTTTCGGAAACTCCCATTTCTGACTGTGAGGCTTCCTGATGATGTAAGCTGTGAACGGCGATCGCGACAAACCATCAAAAGCAACATAAAACCCGGTATCGTGCCGCCGTGCCCAGGGTCACAACTAACTTTGGACAAGTAGCATGAATGCTTGCCTCCCCACTTCGAAGGAAGTACATCTTCTCGACCTGTTCCTTCAGCGGACTCAAGGCCCGCACAAAAATGAACAAACCGGCAATGGCAGGAATTGCATATATCGGCTGTTGCCGGGCACTCTACTGCGGACAGGTTCGTACGAACAGCAGGTGGTTTGGATCCAATGCAAGATGATGCGCGAGCTCGGGCCCGGATATCAGCACACATGTACTAAGGCGGTGACACCAGCAGGCAGAATGACGTCACCTTCCGCGAAGGACTCAGAGGTGGCATCCGATATGAGCTCCTGCGTCTGCGTCTGAATTGATCTGCAAAACACAAGTGTTGTCTATAGTCTACAAAAAAAATAAGGAACCCCCAAAACCCTATTCTCACTAATTCTCACTATTATATAAGGCCCCTGAGCCCCTACATTAGGCAGCAGTCGCACGGGGATCCAGGCCTGCAGGAGCTTCACATTGCGCCCGACAAGCTCTTGGACGCGCAGGATCCCATCGGCATCGACGTCGTCTTTGTGATCATCCTCACCTAATCTGTAATAGAGTACATCATATATAACATTGAGTGTAGCAGTATCGCATATGATATAGAAACCTGCAATCTACTGTAAGCCTTGCAGAGCTTTTGCAAGAGACCCCCCGGTGGCCAGAAGAGGTTTTGGTCTCAGAGCCCGACAGCCCCGAGCTTGCCCAAGCTCCACCTGGTGCACGCAGGAGCTGCGTCATAGCGCTCTGCATTCTTGCTCAGGATATTAATTCAAGTTACCATAATGGGCTGCAAAGTACATGATATGGTTTCCTTACCATATTAGTAGCTTAACTTAAATCTCATAACAAGCACCAAGCACTGGGTCATATGCTCTGCGTTTGCTGAGACGCTGTCTTTCGGATGCTGGGAACCATTAACACGTCTTTCTGCGATAAGCTGAGTTGGCTTCCATCCACAAGGCGCCAACAACGGAACAAATTAGTCTAAATAAGTGACATAAAATTAGTCAAAGTAAGTAATATAAAATTAGTCAGAGTAAGTAATATATAATAAGTCAACGTAAGTAATCTAAATATAGTCGTGCCTTTTCTGTCGCCCTCAACGGCCGGCCTGCGTCATTGCTCGACGGCTCGGCGAAGAGTTCCCACATTGAGGCAAGGCCGGGGCAGGCCACGGCTGCGGGCACAGGCACAGTTGCTGCAGGTGGTCGAGCATTTGAAAAGATCCAGCCAGTTCAGCAAGCTCTGCCCGATCAAGCCCTGAGCCCTGGACACAACAATAAGAGTCATATTGCAGAAGGCAGGATGGGTTCCCGACACGGGGGCCGAACAGTGCTGCACCTCGGAGTAAGATCAGCTGGTCCGCCTGACCAGGACTTGCGAGACTCTACAGGTTTAGGCGACGGTCTGTTGTGATCTTTGCGAGCAGGGTCCACCCAGCGGTGGGTGTAGATTCCGCTGGCAAAGTAGTCCGCGAATTGAAGGTACCTCCCGTTCCATCCGCTGCTACTCACAGTCCAGGTCACTGATGACACGCGCTGCCAGAGATGCGCACGACGGAGATGTAAACAAGCGTACATCGCCGATAGTCCACCTCAGCCCACAAGGTCTCCCTGCAACTGAGCCAGGGGCTCTTCGCCGATCTAATGAGACTCGCTCTCATGATCTCTCATGGCACGTAATGCCACAGCCGACATTTTCGTGGTGTTGGCAAATGTATCGGTAGTAGGTAGTAGCAGCCAAATAACATGACACTATTGCGCAGTTGTGGAGCTCGCCAGCTGGTACGGCACAGTCTGATTTGCGCATGGAACCAGTGCCGGCATCATCATCATCAGCAGCACCATCACCATCACCGGCCGCAGAAGCAACAACAAAGAAACTGCGCCAAAACTATGATTATCATCAGCAGCACCGAGAGTGATGGTAGTAGCAGTCGTCGTCGTCGCTGGAGTAGCAATGAGTAATTAGAAGCAGCAGCAGTAGTAGCAGCAGTAGTAGCAGCAGCAGCAGAAGCGCATTCGCAGTAGCACATTCAGGGTTAAGGGTTTAGGGTTTAGGGTTTTAGGGTTTAGGGTTTAGGGTACCATCACCACGACCACCACACGTCGCTCAGGGGCCGACTGGCCCCCGGCTGCTGCAGGACCATAGCCTGGAGCAGCTTGGAGGGCTTCACGGTTTCGGGCTTAGGCTTTAGACACTGCAAAGTCAGATCCAGGGCTTCTAGGCTTCGAGGTTTAGGCGACTTTTCGGCAGCCGCGTTGACAAAGAAAGATTACAGAAACATGCCGATTACACTGGAGAAGTCGTCGGCAAAAGTCGCGGGACCCACCGGCGCCAGTTACAGGTTGGTTGCGTCGGAAAACCAAATGGGGGGATCCCCAACACGATTCACTCGTATGGGGTCTGTCGGTTCAGGGTATGTGGGAATGTAAGACCGAAGCAACAACCATTCCCAAAATCGCTACAGAGAATTGTACCTGCCATAACACGAATCTGTGTTGCTGCATGGCCTACTTGCAGAATGTCTCCATCGGGTTGACCGTCGTACTCAATCATGTCCAAGAACCTGACAGGTGCCACTTAAATGAAAAGCCAAGGTTTCCATGTATCTATCGGTCATTATCGGTCTATCGTTCTGTCGGTCTGTCTCTCGGTCGATCTGTTGATCTGTCTGTCTATCTAGCTCGCTAGCGATCTACTTACCTGCCTATTTATGTGCCATATGATGTACAGTACAGTATATGTGGGCCAGGACATGCTTTGCGGGCAGTCCGCTGGGATGTCAGGTTGTGGGGGGCGGAAAATATCCCGCTTGTAGTCCCTAAGAAAGGAGTTTAGGAAAAAACAACAGCCACTTCTCAGGCCCCTATATGACAATAGTTTACCCTAATAATGTAGAACCCTCCTCTATAATTCTTAAGGTCACTACATGCTTACATACATCTAACATGGCTACCCCTGAAGCCCTTATAGAACCCTACTCCAATTCTAAAGGCCCCTACATACTCTACATGGTAGTTTCCGAAGATGGGGGACCCTAATATAGCACCCTCAATAGTAGGATCCTTGTTGTAAGTACCCCGAAAAAAGGTACCCCAACTTTTGTTTGTTCCTACATATTTCTCAGCCGCAGGCTCCTGACAGCGATGGTTGAAATCATCAAAGCAGCCGGGAGCTTCGCGTGAGAGCCGGTCATAGACCTGTGGTTTAGGTATTCCTTTTTTGCGATGTGTATACATATAATATGTGATACATGTGGTTTAGGTGTTCTTCTTGGCTTTTGGGATTAGGGTCTAGGGTGGCGAGAGTGCCTGTACGGCTGAGCCTGTGGTTCAGGATTTAGGCTTGCGCCATGTGTGACCTTCACACTCGCACAAGGCAGGCAAGGCTTCACGGCGACCGGTCCAACTAAGACTGGAAACTATATGAAACTACAGCTTGCACCCCGAGGCGACCACCATCACCATACTTTCATAATTGCCAAACCAAAGAGCAGCAACAGACCATTCGGCCTGAAGCACAAACCACTACAGGGCTTGCATGTAAATTTCTTGACTGAACGCTCGCCCTCAACTTCTCGAGCACGCCGGCTGTCCTAACCAAGCCACACATCAGGATTTGAAACATGATGAGTTGTGATGGTGATGGGCACTGAGCCAACCGCGCATCATCGAAGAATGCATTTAAAACGGGCTGTGCCATTGCGTGCCATCCCACTGTGGGATGTTGGGGATATTGAAACGTGGTGTGCAGAGAGCTTTGGTCACCAGTAATTCAAGGAGCTGTGCCACAGTCACCAGCGAATTTTGCTTCTGTCCGAATGAGACATCCAGTCCCACTCACGTTGCCACTCAGGAAGGCCCTGTGCTCGACCCAGTCTTTGCACGTGTCCACTCGGCGCCTCCCTACATACTCTACTCCGCCTAGCTGACCCGGCTCGTCCGACCAAATGATCCATGAAAATGCCGCACCCACCAGGGATGGTGGTATGCCAAGCACTTGATGGAATCTGTTCTTCATACTCCTCGTCCGACAGATGTTTCGCCGCTTTCAGCTCCGGGGCATTTCAGTTCAACGAAGGTAGAGGCTGTTGCAATTTGGATCGCAGGTCGATAGCATGTTCGGCCAACCTTGAGCGATGTCGACACCGTTGCCACCCCTGCGCGTCAACTCCCTAACGCTGACAAAGTCCAGATCCTCGAACTGGAATCAAGGAACCGCGATGGCATCAACGTAGTGAACGTACTCGAGGAGCGAACGGCCACAGTTGCCCATGTGCAACAGTGGTCGCTTCTACCCCTTGCCGACAACCCTTTTGCAGCAGGCCTCGTAAACCCTAAACCCTAAACCCTGCATCACTGCTTTTGTACAACTGGTCCAGCATCGGCAAGGCTTGGTCCAAGCGTGCATGAGCTCTATCATAGGGATCCTTAGGGGTGTAGGGGGGAGGGGTGTAGGGGGCTATATTTCCTTAAATAGGCCTTATTAGTCCTTATTATGGGCCTTAAGGCCCCCTACCCCCCCTCCCCCTACACCCCTAAGGATCCCTATAACTCTATGTTCCCTGACCACGCATATCGGTCGGCGAGTTGGACCAACTTCTGGCAACTCCCACCATTTGCCGCGCACTCCAAGGGACTGAGATTCTACTACCAGCCCGTTCAGCCAAAGGATCTGTTGGATCTTTAGGAAGCTGCCTCTGGCAGCCATCCAACCCTTTTTGAGGATTCCCCGTCTGGGATCGGAGCAGGCTCCTCGGTGGACGAGCCATTGGTCCTAGACGACTTAGGGTTCTGGGGTTTAGGGTTTAGGGCCTAGACGCCATCATGCAGCTTCTTGCTGTAACTGTCGCAATCAAAGTGCAAGTACCTCACAGCAGTCGATTGATTTGCCAGGTCTACTGCCTGCTCTGCGGCCATACGCCAGCCTGATCTCAGGTTGTACTGTACTTACCTTTGGTTAGTAGGGAATGGAAGAATGGTAGGAATAGTAGGTACAATTATGCCCCATTCCTCCATTCCCTTTTAACCAAAGGCAGGTGTAGAAGTGGGTGATTCTTGGCATCATCTTCTGCACTCGACTCTCCATGTATGGGGTGACCTAGCACACATCCTCCAAGCATTCTTTGGTATGAACGAGGTCGTGCTCCATGATATTGAGGATGTACTTGAGATCGAGCCGCCCGGCACTGCGCTGCACATACTTCTCTAACTTTTCGCCTTCTGGGCGCTTTGCGCAAGAAATACAGCCAGCTGGTGAACATCAGGCATCTCGCACAAGCACAAACTGGTTCACGGCAGCTGTGAAGCCGAGGGGCACCTTCATCATGTGGAGCATGGGAGCGGGAACACAACACTTCTAAACCAATGCCGTGTGGCAGGCACCTTGAGCCCAGGCTTTGTTTTGGGATCTGGGTTGCAGGCTCGCCCGGCTTCGTCACAAACACTCGTCGAGGGAAGGCATCTGCACCACAGGCCCTGAAGCTGAGATTCGGTCCATAACGCAACCATGGTCCTGGGCTCAATGCTATGGTGGGGAGAGGGCTGCCCAAAGCTGGTTTTGAAAACACGCCATGTCATCACAGAAGTCTCGCTAAGCTGCTGCCATGTGCTGGAACGGATCTAGCACAGGCCCTTCCACGAAGAACAGGTCCTGAATGGTGCAGAACATGTTCCGAGCTCTGAGACCGTTTATTGGCAGCTTTGGGATACACATGTAATTCCACCTCCTTCCTTCCTCCGACTCCAGCGCGAATCACTGGTTACGGGATTGATCGACTTCTGCTCTGCTGTCGACGCTGCTGGGGCCAGGGCAATATCAAGTCGCAAGAAATAATGATATCCTCGGCGGCAAGTCTCATGCACCGTACATGTCGCTCCTGACCCAGTCTCTCGGCCGATGACCGCCATCTTGAAACGTCCGTGTTCGGAACATTCCAGCCTGAGGAGACTATGGGAGTCTCTATTATAGATGGGAGACCGTCACCACCACGAAAAAAGACAGCAGCAGCAGTAGCAGCAGTAGCAGCAGCAGCAACAGCAAGAAGAAAAAGACGAAGACAACTAGCACTAATAACAAGAACAATAACAAGAACGAGAACAATACTAATAGCAGATAATAGCAGTAATGAGAAGACGCAGAAAATTAAAAACTAACAATAACAAACCAGAACAACAATAACACTAACAACCCCAGCAGCAGAAACTGCAACAGCAACAGCAACGGCATCAGCACAACAAAACGTAAGCCAAGTTGGTCAGAAGCGGAAAAGAAACCAAGTACCGGGTGTAACTTCCAATTCATGGGCAGGCATGCCAGCAAGCAACTCATTTATCACGTCTTGCAGAACTGCACATGTTCATCTGCGGGCGCTTTTTCTCAAAGTCACGCAGTCTTTCGTGGTCGGTCTATCGAGCATTCTCAGCCTCAAAATACATGTAGCTTGACCTTCCGTCATGGGATGCCTAATTCCCTCGCCAGGTCCTTGATTCCCGCCGTCTCTCAATACTTCGACTTCTGGAAGACTTTTCCTGGCCCCAAGGATGTAAAGCCGATCGAATGCTGCCTGCCGACAAATCAAGCCAAGGTGCTCTATACACACGAGTTCGTGGCGGAGATAGATCATCTCCTGATGGAAGGCGACTGGCGGCTAGCGCGCTTCAACAGTGCATGTGTGATCTTTCTTTGGTGGGAAATCGCACAGGTGCCACTTGATTACCAAAGTTTCGGGTTTATGCTCTCACGCTCGGACTAGCCAGAAGATGTCCCTTACATCGACCTTTGTGTCGTTATCTAGCGACGAGACGGCACTGCACATCGCCCGGCCTCCATTTTTTTCGGGTTTCGGCGCTTACTTTCGCAGATGACGGGCGAGGCTCGTGGTGCTCAATCGGTTGGAGATGAAACCCACGTTTGAATGCAGATGAAACACATCATAGCACAAAAAACTGTTATCATCCCACTCAAACTGAACACCTGTACAGAGGAACACAGTGCGCAGAAGCCAAGTACAAGGTGGTTCTATACGGCGTGTTCCCTGAGTACTTCCTGGGTTCCTTCTTGAACTATGCGTAGCTTCGGGGTTCGAGTGTAGAGTTCTAGCAAGTTGGGCCCCAACCAATGCCAAAAAACACACGGAGGGATTATGTGGTCGTGTCAACGCGGTCTGTCATGCGATATATGTCACGCCGACGATACTAGGTATGGATTTTGTCACTTCTGCTTGCTGGCCTGCCAACCAACAACGAGTGGGCAAAAGTCTCTCTCCTGGCAGAGATATCCTGCAAGTTCCAAAATAAAGGGTTGAAGGCTACCCCAAACCCTGAACCCAAAACCCCTAAACCCCTTTTCAGCACGGGCTTTGGCTGTATGCCGGCAAGCTGGGCTCTAAACCCCTAAACCCTAAACCCTGAACCCTAAATTTCAACACTCGTTGCGTCAAGCATCGCTTCTTCTTCGGCGCACGCAGCCTTTCCAGAGCGGCCTTTTGTCGATCCGTTTTTGAGGGCAAAGTTCCCACTGGAGCCTGGGATGTCACTTCTGGTAAGGTTTAGAAGTAGGGTTTAGGGTTTAGAGGGTTTAGGATTAGGGTTTAGGGTTTAGAGGGTTTAGGATTAGGGTTTAGGGTTTAGAGGGTTTAGGATCAGGGTTTAGGGTTTAGAGGGTGTAGGATTAGGGTTTAGGGTTTAGAGGGTGAAGGATTAGGGTTTAGGGTTTAGAGGGTTTAGGATTAGGGTTTAGGGTTTAGAGGGTTTTGGATTAGGGTTTGGAGTTTATGTAGATTTCGAGTGTAGGTTGTTGTTTTTTTTGCGGCCTCGGGCTTAGGGCATTGTGAAAGCTTTGTGTTCAGGGCGCTGGGGTCCAAGGTGTCAAGAATACACTAATCGCCTCAATGCCGCACCATACCTATGGAACCAGGGTCAGATGGGAGTTTCCGAAAATTCGCGGTACCTTACTGTATTACTTTGGGGTCCTTATACTAATGATCCGACTATATTAGGGTCCCCCATTTTCGGAAACTGCCAGATGCCTTCCGCAGCCCAGGAGTCGAGCTCTTGTAATTTTATACCCCCTACATAGAGCCCCTCAGCCTCAAGCCCTAGCAACAAAAAGACTCAAGCAGGCTCAGCTACTAGGCTGTTTCTCGGCCCCTCTGCCGGGCCGGCGCTGGGAGGCGTCGACGGCGAGAGCTTGGGCGAGTCCGTTCGAGTCCGACCGTAGATGTCAAGGCCACCTTTGACCTTTCTCAGATCCTCAGAGCCCCTCTGTTCGGTGGTGGTCCGCTCGAAGTAGCCTGAAGAAGAAATCCGAGCGAGGCCGACTCTCTTGCAATGCAAAGTTGCGGCAAATGACGTATCATGAGACACGACTCACATGACTTTTGTGCAACTGTGACCGGTCCTCCGCCACGGCCGAGACCTTGGACGGCGCGTGCTTGCATCCGCATCTCCCTATCCTGCCGAGGAAACGGGACAGCATGGGGCTTCTTAAATCGGGCTCCGGACTTGCATCACTGGACAGAGAGCCCTCCAAGAGTCTCGAGGATTCTTGAGACAGGGAGAGATTTCAAGGGGATGAAGTCAGTCCTCCGGTCGAGGCTTGCCGCATTTCGTGCAGTGGCTCCAAGTCGACAAGTTCGCCGCGCCACAGTCGCATATCCACCTGAGCTGCTGACGACTTTGTGGCCTCACGCCTGGCTAGGACGACAGGGTCTGTTACGCTGACAAATTTCCACACTCTACTATACTGCTTAAAATAGAATCTGCGGGGATGTCGCAACTAGGGGTACAAGAGAGCTTATCATAACTTGGCAACCTCCATTAAGCAACTTCATAATCTCATGCCCCACTTTTCTTGGCTTTTTTGCTACCCTAGGAATCTCGGTATTTTCGCCTTTTTTACTGTATTGTATACCACTGCATTCTACTATAGTCCACGTTATACTTCATATCAGATGAAACCTCACAATTATCTCCGACATTCCACTGATTAACTCCACTAAATTCCATTGTCTATTCAGTTATATCATATTATGCCTGACATTACCTAGGGACTTTAATGCTCAAAATCAGTTTCTCCCGCAAAGCCCTTTTTTTTGCAGCAGGCCTCGTTGTCCAGCAGCCCGCAAAGCCCTAAACCCTAAACCACCCTTTTTGCAACTGGCTTGCAACCCCTAAACTACCCTAAACCCTACCTTAACCCTGAATAACCTAACTTTTTAGGGCTTTTTTAATAAGATTTCCTTCTATAAGTCCTTAAAAAGGTAGGTTATTCCGGGTTCAGGTAAACCCTACAGTAGAAGCCAGAAAGTTGGAACATGGATATACGAGGATTAGTGCTAGGATCTCCTATACTTTACCTTAAGGCCGTGAGGATAATGATGTTCCAACTTTCTGGCTTCTACTGTACAGCCCTACTACTACTACTACTACTACTACTACTACTACTACTACTACTACTACTACTACTAGTCCCAAAAATAAGAGGTTTGGGCGTCGCACCGGGGGGGGCAACCCTACTAGGCCGTCCCCCCCTGGTGCGACGCCGGTCGCAGAGTTCTTGGATGAACATCATGTCCCATGACAGCTGTCGCGGTCCAAGATGCGGCGTAGCAAGGACAAGGATCGTCCACACCGCTGCAGTAGATGTCAGCAGGTGGGACATAGAAAAGATAGTGTCAAATGTCCTTTCTACGATGGATCGACGCCGGAGAAGCCGCAGAATGCTCTGTTGGCTAAGTTTGCACCTGCTTACTTGGAGACCATGGACGTCATTAGGTTTTGGACATGGATGCTCTCCAAACCCAAATGCGCTAGACCATGGACGTCATTAGGTTTTGGACATGGATGCTCTCCAAACCCAAATGCGCTAGACCATGGACGTCATTAGGTTTTGGACATGGGATGCTCATCGTCATTAGGTTTTGGACATGGATGCTCTCCAAACCAAATGCGCTAGACCATGGACGTCATTAGGTTTTGGACATGGATGCTCTCCAAACCCAAATGCGCTAGACCATGGACGTCATTAGGTTTTGGACATGGATGCTCTCCAAACCCAAATGCGCTAGACCATGGACGTCATTAGGTTTTGGACATGGATGCTCTCCAAACCCAAATGCGCTAGACCATGGACGTCATTAGGTTTTGGACATGGATGCTCTCCAAACCCAAATGCGCTAGACCATGGACGTCATTAGGTTTTGGACATGGATGCTCTCCAAACAAACGATTTGAATGAAAATCATGATCAAAATGAGGCCCAAAAAACCTTGATTCTGATCGCTAGGTTTTGGGCACGAAAATCGAGACACCCAAAAACAATAAAAAATCATGAAATTCGCAAAGACAAGTGCTGTAAATACCAGCATTTTCGTGTGCGACATTGATGAACAATGTTAGAAAATATGATAAAAATACACACGAAACCAGGAACAGTTGCCACTTTCGATAACTGCGGAAAAAAGTGCTGTAAAACACAGCATTTCCGACCACAGGAAGTCCCAAAAATAAGAGGTTTGGGCGTCGCACCGGGGGGGGCAACCCTACTACTACTACTACTAGAACTACAGCCTAGGAACTTCGGGATCTCCTTCTGGTCCAGTCTTGCTTGCAGGCTGTTCTGCACCACCTGAGAGGGAGCTCCGCGCTCATAGCCGGCCATGGCGTTTGGAGGCCCTGAAAGGACCCGAGTCCTCTCTAAATTTTAAAGGGGCCGAAGAGTGGTCGGTAACCCTTGAGGCCTTAAGGGAACCCTTATAGATCCCTGACAGGGTCCCTTCAAGGATCCTTCTATGGAAAACCATGATTAAAGTGGCCCGAAAAGGAACCCTGAAAGCATCTAGGTCTCTGGTAACTTGTGCTACTAAGGCCTGTAAGCCGCAAGCCTATAAGCCTGAGCCCTCAAAAACAGTGTTTGCTGCTTGGAGTGGCCTACTTGTTTGTCAGAGCTTTGCAAGAGAATCTAGGTTCTAGCTGGCTTTGCAGTGGCAGGTAAGGCTCGCAACCCTGGCACACCAGCAGCCACGAAGGGCTCTGATGTCAGCTTGCTAGGTGGCACCATATCTTTAGTGGTTGATTGCTGATGCAAGAGCATGAACTGTCCAGTTCGGTTGCAATGCGTGCAAGTCTCACGGAAAACGACGAACTACTTGGGCCGGCTGGGGCCGCACTCAAGCCCCACCTTGAGCAGTGAAAAGCAAAGGTTGCAAGAACCGGCAAGCACCACGTCGAATGTGGTCGCACATCACATCGGAAACTTCTGCAACCTCAGACTGCAGGCAAAAGCAAAAACTGCAACGAAAGCTGTGTTGCTGGCGGTGAAGAAGTGCGTGGCATGCATCCAGTTCAGCCTGGCACTGGGAATTCGGACTTGTGCCCCGAGTAGTCATGTAACGAATCAGGACGGAAAGTGCATGTAATGTGTGCAGCCGTGCAGGTGTTTCTATATATATAAGATTATAACTATAAGTTTATACATGTATATTTGTGCTGGATTTTTGTGACAGGCTTTCAACTACGCAGTTTGTGCTGGATTTTTGTGAAAGGCTTTCAACTACGCAGTTGCCTTTGTACCTGTATGCACATACCTTTGTGTGTGGCGTTTGTGCTTGCATGCTGGTGTGCTGCCGCCTGAGACCAGAGGAGCAAAATGAGGCACATCGAATAGTAACTCTAACGCATACCGTTCTGCTGTTCCTCACTCAGCTCTGATAGTCGGCGGGGTCTTGTTTGTTGTTCGCGATTAGATCGGCCGCCGTGGTGACAGCGACGGACATTCCAGGCAGGGTTCTCGGGAAGGACGACTCGCATCGGGGCGTGTGCATACCTGCAAAAAGTCTGGGTTAAGGGACTCAGACAAGGTTCGCGACCTTGGCTGCGTCGTTCCTTTTTGGCGCGGCTTCCTGAGGTAGGTCTGTCTCGGGAGACCCAACATCTCGATCTGGTCATCGGTGCGGTGTTTAGGGGGAGCAGCATCCTTCAAAGCAGAGGAATTTGAGTAGTATAGTAAGAGTCTGTAATAGGGCTATATTTAAGGTCGGAGTATATCGGTACTATGAAAAATATTCAACTATTACTGAGTGGGGGCCGTACCCAAGTATAAGTCCACCAACCATGACTCCCGAGCTGGCACATTACAGGTCTACGCACGGTGCAGGGTAAAAGCTCAACCACCTTGGAGGAGCACATGTAGAAGGTTCTGCTGTTTGTGAGCTTTTGCCCTAACCGGCACCTGTTGTGAAACTGGATGGCGCAAGATGGCTGCTAGCAGCTAGGAGCTGCCAGCAACAGCAAGAGTTGGTGTCCAAAAGACCTGGAAATACCACTTCCTGTACCTGATGCGCCATCACTCTGAGCCGGAGGAACTGGCATCAGAGTCGTTGTCGGCATCCTCTTCATCATCTTCCCTGCGCCCGCACTGTCTGCTTGATTCAGCCACCAAAAGGGATATGCAATACAGCCGCAGCGTCAAATACTAAATGCTGTTTAGCTGCTCCACCGCTGTTGTGCTTTTCGCTGCTTCGTGAGTCCCCTCACCTGCATCCTGCATCTGGCCGCAGAAGGCAAAGTGCAGGTGAACTGCCATGTGCATGCATGCATAACTGCATGTGTACACATGCATATATATATATATACACATGTTATACACACATACACATCTGTTCATGTCTATTTGTATACACAAGTTGGCAGCATGGCTACCAAGCTGCTTACATACATGCATACAGACATGCCGGCATGCAAAAACGCAACTTGTTCAGTCATTCAGCCAAGTGGCCTTTGATCGGTGGCCAGCACGGCCACGGAATCTTCGACGTTCCCTTTCCCCATCCTCCTCCTCTTCACCTCAGGGTTATCCCTTAAAGGGCAAAGCCACCTTACAACATTGCCCTGTGCGCCGTCTTTTTCTCTCATGAGCTCGGTCTGAGCCAGTCTCCTGGAGGTTGAAAAGTACAAGAGCTAAAAGCCATCCACATGCACAAAGAGGTGCCTGAAAGCCCGGACCTTCAACACCCCAAAACTCGAAACCGCCACTATCGAACTAGTTGAGCCATGGTGGGATGGGCCAAAGGATTGACAAGGTGCTCTCGTCACCCTTGAAGTCACCCATCCACTGTTGAAAGAGAGTAGGCTGAAGATCCAAGTCTTCGTCTTCCTGCTCCCACCATCACAAGCCAATAGAAGAGAGATTGGGCTTATTGGGGTGTAGGGGCTTCGACTGTAGGGGTTTAGGGGTTTGGGAGTAGTGATAGCAGTATCAAGACCACTAGCCATACCAGTGGCAGCACGAATCAGCACAAGAGGGAACTGCTGCAACGACAGTCAGAGTGCAAGTCGTCTGCACTCTAAAGAGTTCCAAGACCAGAAGGAACGATGCACCTGATGCACGGGCATCTTCCGCATCATCTCGTCTTCTGCATAGGCAGTGAAGGTGAGCTCAATCCGGTGATCCATGCCAGCGTACGCGTCACCTCGGCTCCATTATTTGGAGTTCTGGTCATCAGGAAACACGAGCCAGAGCCGGCTAAGGCAGGAATCTCCACGCTAAGAGCGAACTTTTCCGATAGTACTAGCACGAAACATGCTAGCCATGATGCGCAGCAAACCACGGCTTCCTCCAGAAAACACACCAAGTCAACAAATAGTATTCATACTACAATCATCACTTCAGAAAAATCAACACGTTTGTAGCAGCAGTAGTAGTCGTCGTCGTGGTGTTGGTCGTAGTACTGCAGTCGTCGTCGTCATCGTCGTAGTATACATAAATCAAATTTTGCCTGGAGGCACATGGCATACAAGACGAGCTTGTTCTCTCCCGCCTTCGTCACTTGGAAGCGCAGCTTCCTTGCTTGTTTCTGGGGCAAGGGGTGAGGGTTTAAGGACTCAAACTTCAAGTGTTTAGGGTAGGGCTTAAGTTTCAATTTAGTTTTTCTTGGAAAAGCCACAGGTTAAGCCTGGGCTTAGGGTTCATTTATTTTGCAATAAACTGGTCCCAACTACCCTCTAACATACCCCCAAATACCCACTATTCAAGGCCATACGGGCGCTTTTAAAGGGCATTTGGGGGTCCTGGTACACCTTAGACCTGAAAACCGAAAGCCGAGCTTCTCTTCGAGACAGCGCTCGAGATCGAGCACACGCTCGAAGTGGACGATCCTCTCCTCCCGGCTTTGCCATACTTGTCGGGTATCATCGAGATCGAGCACACGCTCGAAGTGGACGATCCTCTCCTCCCGGCTTTGCCATACTTGTCGGGTATCATGGGCAACTAAAGGTTAACCTTGCAGTTGCAGAGATCCCAAAGCCCCTCTCTCTCTCTCTCTCTCTCTCCCAGGCATTCGAAACGTCAAGGCCGGTCCTCAGTTAAGGAATCCTAAACTGAAGTGATAGTCGGGGTCCTTCTACAATAAAGTTGGGGGAGATATCTTACATGATATTCGAGTTCGTACTGTAACTGAAGGGACGGGATAGGTCTTATGTAAGACATTTTGGAGTCTCTGGGTTCCTGGTTTCGGCGCTCACAGGGCTCGGACTCTCACGACTCGGACACTCCGGGCGAGGATGCTTAGGGCTTAGGGCTTTAGGGCTTTTGGATTACGTATCTCCTGAGGGTTTTGCGGGTATGTGCTGGTGTTTGCTGAGCAGGTGTCAAAGAATGAGGTATGTGGGCGACTGGATTCTGGTAACTGGAAATAAGTTCCTCAACAAGAACCCAGCCTTCGCACCGGAGTCGACCAAAAAGAGCCACCACTCCTCAAACTTGGCTCCGGGAAATAAAGGCGCGGATACCGGTCCCAGAGCTTCGTCTCTTGCGAGATGTTTGCGGCACATCTGCACCTTCACGGTGGCGACGTCCCCCACGATGATCTCTGATTCATCTTCAACGCCTATGTGCGCTTTTATCAAGGTCTGGCCGATGTGTCCACAGAACGCCTCCACATCTAGGAGCTCGGTGTCACCAAGTTGACTGAGCTTCTTGCGCTCATCCGGCTCCAAAGCCAGAAACTCTGATAGAGTTGTAACTGGAGGGGAGGCTTTTTGACAAAGGTCGACCTCCTTGTCGCTGAAATGCGGTATCTGCAGAAGCTGTGAGCTCTTAATATCGAGACCTTGCACTAAGCAGCGCCTGAACTCGATCATGCCTTGAGCTGTGCCGAACCACTCTCTCATACAGGCCACCTCGATCATAGCTTGTGTGACCTTCATGGAATGCCCGAGCAATTCATCCAGGTCTTTCCGAAGGGGAGGCGTCATCAGAGAGTGACGCCTCTGCATGTGAGCCCAAATTAGATACTGGTTTTTCATCACAGCTGGGAAGGTGAAGACACGCTTCTTGTGCTCGATCACGTGTCCTGTGCGTGGGCTCGAACGGGCTTTGGGGTGGGAGTTCAGTGTGATGGGGTATGGCAGGCCCAAGCCGAAGCCATGTCAAATTCTGCACTAGGACCCCCCCGCAGGCGCTCCTCCAAGCTTCTTAATGTCGGCATTGTCTGTGGGGCGAGTGCCCATGAGGCGGCTTTCCGCACATGCGGCCAACAGCTCTGGGCCATGCTTGGCACGTGCCGATTCTGCAATGTAATACCTTCAGAATGGAGCCGGATGAGTTGAAGGCAACCCTTGTGCTACTGGACACCCTTGTGCTGCTGGACTCACGTGTAGTGAAAACAACCTTAAACCTTAAACCTCGCCGAAAGCCCAACAAGACCGGAGGAGGTACTGAACTCACAGAGGCAGCCGAGGCGCCCCAGGAATTGGAGCGTTTCTATCATAGCCTGCGCATTGTTTCTGGATTCACTCACGAAATTCTTTCGGGCTTTAGGACGCAGCTACCACCTCCGACGGCTCTACGGCTACCTTGGAAACTCCAATCAAATGCCAGGTGGCGCCATTCGCAGCAAAGTTTTTGGCATTCTGATAGTAGCAGATGAATGTGATGGGCACCAAGAAAACGATCACGAAGAAGAAGCTGCACAAAATCATCAAATGGTTCTCCTTCTCTAGGAGGAAGCGGGGCAAGCCGATGCCAACCTTCGTCGTCTGGGGCCCATCCGGATTTCCGTACTTCTCCCAGTTCCGCTTTGCGATGTCGTCAGTCAAAGCTTGGTAGGCTTTAGTAATCTGAATGAAACGAGATGCAGCGAGGGGGTCATCAGGATTCTTGTCCGGGTGATAGATGAGAGAAAACTTGCGATATGCTCGCTTGATCGCAGCGCCGCTTGCAGCGGGGGGCACATCCAGAATGACAAAAGGGTCAAACTTCTGAATTTCCTTTTCGTGGCCCAACTGCGTCATCGTTCCGAAGATACATGCCCACATAATCGACAGCACTATAAACTGAACAAGTGAACTC